ACAGGGGGGAAAAAGGAAGAGAGAGGCCCAGTTGCCTTGGACTTTGACTTGCAGTGGTCACCAGTTTCTCCCTACTAGATAAATACAGCTTTCTTATCTTCTAGCTTGAGGAAAATTCTGCCATTTCCTCCACCTCAGCAATGCCTAAGAAAAAGTTCATGGTCCCATAACTTGTGTCTTTCCCAAAAGCAAGAACTCACCTGTTTCTTCCAGGAGGAAACATAAAAGGAAGACCTTTTATAGACACAGTGTGGCAAGATTTTAAAGCACATATTTAGATATTAGCCCTAGAAGGTTTCTAGAACAGAGTTCTATCCAGATTTTGTGGTCATTATCATTACCGTATCTCTTGGCCCCTAATCAGATGAAGCTGTTGAGAGCAGGGGGGATAGCCTGGGTTATGATGTGGGATTTAGAGAGAAGAAAATAGACAAACTACAATTATTTTGGGTAATTCAATTGGGTCAGGAAGAAATGGAAGAGAAAGTCAAGGAGAGGAAAGTTCAGCTGACAACACTGTTCGCAAGTATAGAAGGCTTTTCCAGTGAAAAAAAATGTGAGCCGCTTTGAATTGTCCCCTTGGCACAGGAAGGCTGATACTGCTGCATTTTAATAAATAATAACACCTCATTTACCAGGGCTTGTCAGGTAATGACACACTCCACAAACAACACATCCCTAAGGTCATTTAGCATGGAAAAGGTTTTATTATTACGGTTTGAATTGTGTATATTCTAAAATGCTCATTTCCCTCTCTACCTAAGCAGAGCTCATTGGTTATAAATTAACACTGTGAGTGAGTCAGAGGCCCCTGTAATGATTACTGCAATGATACAGGATAGAAGTGGCATCTCCCAAAGGAGAGATCCGGAATCAGAAAGAGGCTACTTGAGCCTGGCGTGGTGGTGCAGCTCTATAATCCCAGCTGGCTCTTGGGATGCTGAGGTGAAAGGATTGAGAGATAGAGGCCAGCCTGTAGAGTGGATCCTGTCTCCAAAACACCAAACAACAACAAAACCTGCAAGAAAGAAGCTACATGAAATTAGCACCACCTGCTGATAAAGATAAGAAAGAGTGCCCTTGTTGTAGCTGTGGCTTTAGTGCTGTAGCACCCAGAACAGGAAGGCATGTAGGCTTCTAACACCATCATGCCGAGAAACAATGTCCCCATTTGGGACGAGGTAGTCTTGTGTTCTAAATAATAACGTTTGCTGTGGATAGACGTGCTGCTCATGGGTAATTTCTAACGGCACAATTCCAGCTGGTGGAGATGCTGACATCGTGGAGTCAGGATCCTTTCATCCCCACTTCAGGTGGACAGACCTGAGCAGAGGAGGGCTCCATTAACCTCTGATAAAGCCTGAGCTGTGGCGTTTTCCACCCAGAGGGGGTCCTGAGCGTGGGAGCTGAGGAGGAGCTGTGAGAAGACAGAGGTTTGAATAGACACAAACAGAGGTCAGGAGAGAGGGACCTCGGAAGGTCTCAGCTTCCTGTCTCAGCTGTGCTGAGTTCTCCTGGTGTCTCAGAGTTGAGCCTATCTTGAGGCAGGACAAGCTTGAAACAGGAAGGTATCTGCCTTCTGAAAAGGAGTAAGAGTCAACTGTGTTCTCTCCCCTCCTCCACCACATTTTAGAAATACCCTTGGCAGTGCCACACTTGGACACTGGCAGCCATGGACAGGGGACATTCCAAGACTTTTAAGGCTTGGTCCTGACTGTCCTTGACCTCCTTGCTGTACACACACACCCCATAGGCCAGTAAGGACCACCCCACAGAGCAGCACGTGAGGCAGCTGCCTCCATACCCTTTACACCAAATCTCCTTTCCGTGTCTAATTCTCCCTCCCTGACAAGTTAGCAGCTGTAAATTCACACTTTCCACTGAAAAGGGATGGGGACGTTACAAAGGTAATGGTGAAAAGACATGAGACAAACCCCAATTGTATGAAACAACTGACCTGTGTTTCTGAAAAATGTCGCTGTTATAAAAGACAAAGAGGAACGTATTAACTAAAGAAATCAAGGGATGTGACAGATATATTCACCATATGATCCTGAGCTGGATACTGGTTGCTGTACAGGTTGTAACTGCCTATGACTGATGACATTTGACCACGGGGGTAAATAAGTGGCAGTATTGTCCTGAATTCGATAGTTGAAGTGGGGTTAAGTAAGAAAACATATTTGTTTTATGGAATACACTAGAATGTTAAGGATAAAGGAACACAGCACATACAACCTGCTTTGAAATTGTTTATAAAACTATGCACAAACACACACATATACACATAAGAAGAATGATAAAGAAAAGCAATGTAGTAAGATGCTTACAGTTTTAAACAGTGGGAGTTCTTTACACTATTACTACAAATTTTCTGTAAGTTTGAAATTCCTTTAAAGTAGAAAAGAAAGTAATGGAGAACTTCAACAGAAAAGACAACAGAAGGAACTTTTAAATAGGAGGCAAAAATTAGAAAAACAAAAAAATGTCCATCATCATTAACAACACAAACAATGCAAAATGCGACTGAAAACTCTGATCCTTAACCTTCCGAGGTAAAGGGAAATACCCATTTTTGGTCAGGGATCAAGTAAGTAGACAAGGTTTCCGAACAGCAATTTGAGACCCTAAAATGCTCTTGTATTTAGACCTTGTGCTGTACTTGGGATCTCAAATGTCTCTCCAAAGGCCCATGTATTAAAGGCATGGTCTCCAGTGGGCACTTTTGAGAGGTAATGGGACCATTAAGAGGTGGGGGCCTATTGAGAGGTCTTTATGTCATTGGGGCATGCCTTTGAAGGGGATTATAGGATCTCTGCCTTTTCTTTTTTCTGTATTTTTGTTCCCTGGCCATCAGGTGAGCACACAGGCTCTCACCATGATGAGGTCGCCTCCATTAAAATCCTAAAAGCAATGAGTCTGCCTGATCACAGACTGGAATCTTCAAAACAGTGGGCCAAAATAAACCTTTCCTCTGAAGTTGATGACCTCAGGTTTCTGTCATGATGGAAAGCCAACTAATACCCCTTGTAACAGAATTCTTAAAGTTGTATCCTAAAGAGAAAATCAAAGATGGAGGTCAGAGGTTTATATAAGAGAATGCTCTTTCTGCTGCTATTTACAATGGTGAAAAACATTATCAGCAAAATGTCAAAAATTAGGATAATGGTTAAATAAATGATAGTACACCTATACATGAAAACATTATATAGTCATTTAGAGTCGTGTTTTCAAAGACATTTTCTCCTGGCTCACATCTGCCCACTTTACAGCCTTCTTAGTAATGTACCTTCTTTCTTGGCATTCTCTAATACTGAGGCATTCCCTGAACCCCAATCTTCCCCTTTCCTGAGGAGGTGAGTGGACTATGGCTTAGAACACTAAGCAACACAATGATATGAACTTCCTAAACCTGGAGCTCTCATTCCCAAGTCTCCTACTACCTGTTTCCGAATCCTCTTGACTCTGCCCTTGGTATTTAAGGCCTTCCTTTTCTATTGCATTAGTCTGAACATCTGTCCTGGATTTATGTCAGTATCACCTGAAGCCTCTTGCCAGGACTCAGATTTGTCCCCAGCTTCTTCTCATTTGTTCCACTCTTCCAGTGGTGGTGCTGGGGACTGAACTCAGGACCTTACACTTGCTAGGCAGATGCTCTACCACTTGAGCCACTCCACCAGCTCCCTGACAGCCTCTTGTTGCATTCCTCAGCCAGCTAACAAACAGACCTACTGACAGGGTTGGTTCTGACTAATTTCACAGATTTGGTTGAAGTTAACTCCTTGGCTTCTGATACCAATGAGATAATTTTAATTGGGCAAACTAAAATTTGGAGAAGAGCAATAAATCCAACAAGATTAATCCATAGTACTCACTTGGCCTATGGGTTACTTAGAAGTGTGTTGTTTAGTTTCCAAATAGTTGGGGGATTTCCCAATTTTCTGTCATTAGTTTCTAGCTTAATTTCATTGTAGTCAGAGAACATACTCTGTATGATTCCCAACTTCTGAATTTTATTGAAACTTATTTTATGGCTTAGTGTATTGTCCATCTTAATAAATCTAAGTCTACTAGAAATTAATGTGTACTCTGATGTTCAATAGCATATTGTATAAATCTTAATTGGTTAAAGTTGGTTGATATGTTGTTCAAGTCTTCTATATTCTTACTGATTTCTCTACTTGTTCTATCAATCATCAAGAAGGGGGTATTGAAATTTCCAACTATAATTGTAGCTTTGTCTTTCTCATTTGAGTTCTATTTAACTTTCTAGTTTTGTGTTTTGAAACTACTAGAGGTATAACTAGGATTAAAAAATTATCTTCTTGATGAATTAACCAATTTGTCACTATGCAAGGGCCCTCTTTTCTCACCTTGTCTGATATTAATATATAAATTCTATCATTATGTTAGTATTTGAAAATGTATACTTTCTATCCTTTTATGTCTTTGCATTTAAAGTGGGTTTCTTGTAGACAACATATAGGTGGGACTTGTTTTTCTAAAACTCTCATCTGATCATCTCTGTCTTTCAATTAGTATTTTAGACCATTTACATTTAATGTGACTATCTAACTAGGTTAAATCTGCTATCTGGCCAGTTATTTTCTTTTCATTTCTTTTCTCCATTTTCCATGCCTTTTTTGGATTGTTTGAACATTAAATGGTCCATCTTATCTCCTTTAACAGCTTAGTAGATATGTCTCTCTTGTTTTTCTAGTGGTTGCTCTAGAGTTGCCCCTACGTATACAAGTAGGCATTCAAAATCTCATCACTATTAAAATGGGAAATAGAATTGGGTACCTAAAGCTATATTTTGCAATTTTCCCATAATATTTAGGTTTTTCAATATTTAGATGTTTATCTTCAGTGAAGCATGTTTCTTGTTCTTTGAGCTTATACACCTCATTAGCAATTCAAGATGATTTTCTTGGCTATAAAATAAAATGGCCAGAAACAATGGTCTTATACAGTACATAAAATCCGAACAGTTGGGAGACATTCTTTATTAGATTTTCAAAAACCAGAAGTAATTCTGATTGGCTTCAGGTTTTAACTCTTGGGGGGGTTAAAGTTTTATTTGGGGGGCCCAGCTTTGCTGGGGGACATTCCCATGAGGAAGTCTTGCATGCCCCTTCGCAGCTGTGCATTCTCAGCAACCTCCCTCAGGCTTCTGTGGAGCTTCTCCATCTCTTTGTACTCACTCTTGACATCTAAGGGGGAGCAGAGAGCAAGGATCAGGAGTTAATGTCCACTTCACAGTTGTCTCCAGGAAGTTAATCCCTCAACAATCCTGTCACTTGTCCCAGAATATAAGATCTGGAATGGTGCTGGGAGATCAGATAGTCCAATCTCCTAGTCTTGTCAATAACCTGAAACCAGGTATTCTCCCTCTTACCTGAAGGCTTGTCTCTACATGCAGGTCACCTTCAAAGAACCATAGCCTACCCATAAAACCAGAGCCTTGGGGAACCCCTGTCTTCACTAAGGCCTCTGAGAGCTTGGTAGAAGGGGACACAAAGCACCACACAGTAACTCCTCCCCTAAGTCATCTCCAGGCAACTCTTTCTTCCTCCATTCCCTCTCCTCCTTCTCAGATTTTCATACCATGATCTGCACTCTAATTACATCTTCATGATGGTTAATTTGTCTCACTCTGTAGCCTAGGCTGGCCTCAAACCTGCAATCTTCCTGCCTTGGCCTCCTAAGTGCTGAGATTACAGGTGTGAACCACCACGCTTAGCTAAAATGACTAATTTTATGTGTCAACTTATCTAGGCCATGGTGCCCAGACATTTGGTCAAACATTAGGCTGTATATTTCTGTGAGGATGTGATTTACTTCTAAATCAGTGGACCATGAGTAAAACTACTGTCTCTCCCAATGTGATGGGCCTTGTTGAATTAGCTGAAGTCCTCCATAGAACAAAAGGTGCCCTTCCTCTGGCAAGAAGAAATTCTCCAGCAGACAACCCTTAGCCATGATTCTCACCTCAGCTCTCAGAAGACCACATTCGGACTACAGCTCCTTCCAGAATCTCTAACATGCCGGCCTCCCCCGTCAGATTTTGAATACACAGAGCTTCCACAGACATATGAGTCAATTCCTTAAAGTAAACCGTCTTAGCTACACACATCCTATGGGTTCTGTTTTTCTGGAAAATTCTCAGCAACACTGTCCCTGCTGAATGGACACTTCACACTGACCTTGGAGCTGGCTCTAGTCATGCTCCTAAATGCCTCTCCGGTCCCACTCAGCTCACCATGCCCCAACCATGTCCCAGATGGTGACCTGGATGATCCTGCCCTGAGCCTAGCATACACAGGACTCATGACCAGGAGAGGAGTTGGAACACTGAGGCTTTTGTCTTAGTCCACATCTGGAAGGCTCCCTCCTCCTTGCTACCTCTTCAATTCTGCCTACTCATCTTCAAGGCTACTCCTTGGAAGTGGCTAACATGCAGCTCCCCATGACCAGCCCTGGAGAACTGCTGTCTTCAACAACTGAAATGACCTAGAATAACAATCTTGTCCTTCTTCCCCTTCAGTCCCACATTCCAGGAGAGCTATTCCTTGCCCTCACCTCCCCACCATCTCTTGCCCTCAGCAGCCCCTGTCCCTTTGCCTGCCACATGTTCTACTTAGTTGTTAGCTATTGTTTGCCTCCAGTCTTCTGGGCTGAGAGCTCATGTGGTCTGAGTACAATGCACAATGTCTGGTCTCTGTCAAGTGCTTGAAAAGGAGTGGGACAGTCATACTCATCATGATCATTTCCAATGACACTCTGGAAATTCTTCCTATTCTGATTTCTTTAAATTCAGTAAGGAGCAACCACAGCCAGGGGCATCTGCACCTTGTACAAACACCCTTTATGCAAATGTTTTAGATACTTACCTGCAAGGTCCTTGTAGAGACCATCACCCTGGGATGAAGCAAGGGTCAGCATGGTGGTGATACTGGCCTTCACTTTCTCTGTGATTCCATGCTACATAACAAGGATATTTGATTTATTAGAATGGTGCAACCCAAGGGAAAAATGAATCTTATAAAGGAACCCCACCCAGTGCCCCAGCTGAAGAGGATACAGAATGGGGTTGGCAACATCAAAGTCAGGTACAAGGGTGGAGAGCTTTAGGGTGTGCCCATAGACCAGGGGTCATCAGGGCAGCATTTCTGTGGCTACCTAAACTATCTCTTCATCTCTTTTCAAACCTACCAAGACTCACAGGGGACTGTCCTCTGGTACTGACATACAGAACTAGAGCTGAGGAGGAGGTGGGGGTAAGGACAACAACCACAAAGATGGACAAAGATGGAAATAGCTGGTCACTACCCACTGTCCTCTCCTGTATTTAGTCCCTACATAGATGTGTATTGGACACCTGCTCTGTGCAACGCACCTTGCTCAACATGTCTGATTCTTCTTCCGATGGCCTAAGAAATGTCTTTGTGCTAGCTATTCTAAGTCCTTTTATCAACTAAAACAATTTTTTTCCCTCTTCTTCTCTTGTCTCCTTTTTGGAAACACAGATCCTTTCTCTAACCTGGTAGACTCCAGTTTTGAACTTGGATCTCCTGGCTCCAAATCTTATAACTTTTCTTTAATGCCAGACCAAGAGCTCTAGCCTTCAGCTAGTAACGTAAGCCCTCTTGGCCTCAGTGTCCTTGCCTGGAAGATCAGGGAGTGGGAGACCCACAGCCCCTAAAACCAGAAGTAGTTACCTCGCCGCAGAGTGAAAATAAATCGGCAAGTCACACACCTGATGAACATGACACAGACTGATCAGTACATTCAACAGAATGTTGCTCCATTCTTCACTTTTAAGAATGTTGTGAAGAGTTAATTTTTAAAAAAACAATAAATTTTTCAAACATCAAATTAGTATAAAAATAAATTCCATATGTTATTTGTAACTAAAATATTTTAAACAACTAAAAGTTAACTGGTATTCATATTTTGAAAAAAGGCTATGGAATGAAAACACAGCATGATCTTGCTCATTTTTAACTTCCTACATTTCATTTGTACATGGTCAATGTACTAATCACTTGTTAATGGAACTGCTTTTTTTGAGCACCTAAGATACAATTTCTAGGTACTCGATGATCAGCTCTGTGGAGTTTAGCCATTTCCTGCATGTATTTGTAGACTGTGATGATATGTTAACAGACTGAAACTAAACTGCTGCTAACAGATGAGACCACTCTTACTTGGCCAGGGAGGTTCCATGCTTTGGAGACATGTGTTTTCTAAAGCTGAGATAGGCAGGGGCTGGGCCAGAAGCAGGTGCAACAGCGGCCTAATGCACCGCTGGCCTGCTTCTCAGGTGGTTGGGACAGAGGTCATCTAAGCCTGGCCCAATATATAAGAATCTGAAGCCTCATGTGGCCAGGAGGGGCAACAGTGAATTGGAGTAAGACAAAGCCTTTCTATTACTTATAGGGAAGCCAAGAGACACCCAGAGCTCAGATAAGATGCCAAGTGTCCTTGACAGAAACACATAGGTCTATGAGGAACTCTTAGGAACTGTCTTTCTAGGTATATGGGCTCAAACCCAAATCTGTGCTAGGCATGATCACTAACTGACTTATAGCTGTGTGCAGATGTTTATTTAGTAACATTTTATATAGGTAAATCATTTTTCTCATTTTAAAAAACCTGTCTTGAGACTGTGCTACTGTTGGAGGTGCTAGGGCCAGGAATTAAAGGACTAGATGCATGTAAAGAGGTCAGCACCCATCTAGATGTTACAGCTGTTCTAGAGACAACTTGGTGGAGAAGAAGGGCACAGGGGATTGCTGGATGGGCTGCATTTCTGAAGCCTCAACCCCAGAGTAGAGCTGACACCAGCACTCCAGAACAGGGAAGAAAGAAAGGTGAGTGTTCAGGGGGCCATACCTTCTCTTGGCATGGGACTTATTGGACTGGCCCCATAGTAGCAGATCAATTAATCAGCCTCAACTGTGGCCCAATATGTGGCCCATTGGTTTCTTTCCACCTTTTACACCCACTTCCCCAATTTCCCCAGGAGGCCCGCCTCCCGAGACAAAATTGGCGCTCCAGCTGGGCTGTTTATGAAAAATACCCTTGGGAGCTGCTTAGAAACTTGATGCTGCATCCTCTCTTGAAGCCCTTTCAAACATGCCCTCAGCCACCTGCCGCTCCACCCCTCTTCGGATGATATCCTTCATTCTCTCACATGCTTTTCTGCCAGTGATTTGAGCCGCCTCTGGCAAAAATGATAGCTACAGTCACACCATAGCCCAAGGACTTGCTTAGAAAGCTATGGCATCAGAAAGAGGAACAAACAAGCAAGCAAACACAATACAAGTTCACATGTTATAAACACACACATCTACATTAATATGTATACACATAAAAATAACAATACTCAATATTTAGATAACTATCATTCCCAAAATGTAATGAATAAATTAAGCATAAGATTACAAATTCTCCCCCCCCAAAAAAAAAAACCCAGAAATAGCTTGAAAGAGGGGCCCACAAATGCTTTTAAAAAGTGTATATGTGAGCTGGATACTGAGATGCAGCATAGAGAGGAGGGGCAGGTGTCCAGACAGTACAGAGATAAAGAGGATTTCTCAATTCCCTCTCCCCATTTTTTGCAATTATCTGCTTTCAATGTGTACTTTGAGAGTATTACACCCTTAGGACTTAGGATATGGGAGGACAGGTGCTTGGGGGGGAGTAGCAGCAAGACAGGATGCTAAGGAGCCATAAGAAGACCCCAGAGGATGAGGAAGAGTAGGCAGAAGTGCTGCTCCCTGGAGCCCACCTTCATAACAGGGCTTCAGGTCATTCTGGACCGAGCTGGTAAGAGATTCGTAGATCCTCCTCTTCTTTCTGATGATGTAGCCCTCCAGACCTCCCAGGATGGCACTTATCTGAGAAGCCAGGTTAACACCAGACCATGTGGGATAATTCTTTTGACAGAGGCACAGGTGTGACTGTGTATGGCCACCACTTCCCTCTGCCTCACATGATGTTCTACACGCCATCTCCACTCAGCTGTGAGCTCCTTGCAGGTAGGAACTTTGTCTTAAGCATCTTTATACCCCAAAGTGCTCGCACAGTGCCTGCCTCTTACGTACTACTTATTGAATATGTACTGAGTTGACCCAGACTCAGGGTCAACTGAGTACATATTCAGGGTCCTAGAAAGGGTCCTCTTTGAGAGGGGCTGGTACCAGCTATCTTCCTGGCATTGCCATGTGATTGGGGTTGAAAGTGAGTCATAGACAATAGTCTTGAATCCTCAAAACTAATAAGCAACATGCAAAAAAAAGTCTGACTTTAAGTTTTGTTGCTTTGGATACTACATAACATTGGCAAAAATGATAGAGTATTGACAATGTTACCAGGGAATGCAAATTGATGTGGCAGGATTCTTGACAGACTTTTCCTTTGAGATCTGAGTCACCTCTACCACCTGGGCATGCCCATGGGTTGCTTACTGTGGAACAAAGCTTGCCTCAGTGTCCCACACCTCCAAGGAGGTCTTAGGACCTCTTTTCTCACCTGACCCCATTATGCTTCATATTTCATAGCATAGAGCAAGCACTCAGCCTCCCAATTTTAGGAGAAAACCAAGAGGTCTTTAAATGGGCTCAGTTCTTGCTGAGACAATGGACACCCTGGAGTACAGTAGGGAGAGAGAGGTAACCTCCATATCCTGCCTGGAAGAAAACCAGCACCCAACTTCCCTGCCCTTTTCATTATATAAGGAACTTACTTCCTGGATCAAGAAACTTTTTTTGTAGCTGTCATATTTCCAGCCATTTCTTATCCCAATTTCTGCCATTTTCTCCTGCAGGGAGTGCTTAAAAGCATCTATGTGAGGCATCAGAGCAGAGCCGGTGGCCTTGCCAGTCCTTTAGAAGAAAGCAATATAAAAGGTGAAGAGACAACAGTGGTTATTGTGAGGCTAAGAAGCAGGAAACTTAAGAGAAGACTGACGAGATCCAACTTTATCAAATTTCTGTGGTGTGCTGGGCATGGTGGTGAGCTAGACCTTTGACATTAAAGACCTATGCTGTCAGTGTGATTGAGGTTCAGGAAGGGCAGCTGATGGGTGCAAGGTCACGCAGCTAGTGAGAGACAGGGTCAGGCTTTGAACACGGCCTATACCTCAAAACTCACTGTCTTTCTACTGCCAATGTATTTCTGCTGGAAAGGGTAGGACTTGAATTGCAACATAAAAGACAGTTAAGATCTGAAGACGTGAAAAGAAGGGGGAATTATTCCCTACGGAAGAAGACAGAGAAGTTTCAGAATATTCCAGGAGTAAGAAGCAGTGTTACGGAGCACAGAGTCTGGGCTTTAAATCCTAGCTCTATACTCTTGAAACTGGGAAAAAACATACAATTCTTCTGGTTCTCAGTTTGTTCATGTGTAGAAAGACAAGAGGCAGTTTGCAGAGTTACCAGGAGCATTTGATGAGATAAAAGTGGACAAACGCTTAGCACTGTGCCCAGGACACAGTGCTCTTTGCTCCCTGCCAGGCTGGCTCCAACAGAGGTTGACTCAGGGCAACAGAGTCAACCTGGAGACAGGTGGAATGTGTTAAACTCCATTCTAAGGAATTTGGAGTGTATCCCATTGTGTCAACAGGGGTGGGGTGGTCATGGGTGGAATGCATGACCCCAAATGTTTTTAAAGAAAGGTGGGGGAGGACCAGTGGAGTGGCTCGAGTGGTAGAGTGCATGCCTAGCAAACATGAGAGCCTGAGTTCAAGCCCCAGTACTGCAAAAAAGAAAGAAAGAAAGGTGGGAGAGAGGAGGGGGTGCTGAGGAAGAGAATCTGGAGCACTCCTACCCTCAGCTCATGCCATGCTTGTGAGTATGCATGTGTCAGAAAGAGTCCTCCGTGGGCCACTTTTTCTTTTCACATTTAGGGAGAGTTCTGAAGACCATGTGTTTGCTTAATTCCACAGTCTCCAATCAAAATACTGCATCCTAGGCTCAGACCCCTAAGAAAATGTATCCTTTGCTGCATACGGGAGATATTTGAAAATAATAGGAATCATAATATTAGTCTGAAAGCAACATCTCTGTACTCCAGGTCACCATGGGAAATTTTTTAAGTAAACCAAACCAAGAAAGCTTTTGTGTTTTGCCAGAGGCTAAGCTTTCCTTCTCAATAATGAGCTACTCTTTACACATCTAGATCCAAAGTATAAATTCTTACAGCTGAGGCTCTGGCTCAGCCTCCTGCTGATGTTTGTTCATGACAGAGCAAGATGAAAGATTCTTTACCTAAAAATGCCTCCAAACACAGGGTCGAGCTGGTCATACATAGGCCGAGTGATGGCTTCATTCAGGTCAATTCTGGCCAGGGTTCTGGAGGCATACACACCATGTTTTAGGCACACGGCTTTCAGAGTCTGGTGAAAACCTTGGTTTCCTCTACTCCTCTAAACAATTAAACAATGAATTAGTAACATTAACTAGAAAGTCACTGGGTATTATATTTTGTGCTATTGTAGCCTGAACAAACTAATACAATGGGCCTCTTTTTTCAAACCTTAAGTCTTAGATAATTCGGCCGTGCACTTACATTTTTATCTCTCAGAAACCCCCACAACTGATTAAGAATAAGCCAACAATTTGCATGTCAGGTGAGAGGTTACAAGATGCATTCTTGTGGGATCATACCAAAAGGATAAGAAGGACAAGCACTTAGTGTCTTCATTCTACAGGCGAGAAAACCAACAGGTCATTAAATGGGCTTAAGGCTTTAAATGGGCTCAGGGCCCTGCCCATGGCTCCAAGGTGCATGCCTGGTGAAGCTGGCACTCAATCAAGCCCTCAAACCCTAAATTCCATCTCTGCATCTCCTAGACCATGAACATGTCCCCCCAATACACAGGTAAGCAATTCCCACCTATGCTTTTCTACATGCATCTGCACTCTTTTCCACCATCTTTCTAGCTCTTTATCTCTGTAGAAAGCAATGGGATAGTGAAAAGGGAGATTGGGGATCAGGCTGGCCTTACTGAATAGCACAGGTTTTCCCTAGGGAGGGTCACTCACCACCAGGCATGCCCCAAGGATGCGTCGGTAGGAAGTCCTGGCCATCCAGACCCCTTCCTGCAGGGGCCGCTCAATGTGAGCAAAGCACTGCTCAATGGCCTTCTCCAGCAGCTCTGTCTTCTCTTCAACAAAGTGCCGCAGACCACTCATGAGCAAGTGTTCATTCTAGGGGTACAGGCCATAAGAAACTTCAGGCCAGCCCATCCTAAAGGCACCTTCTTCTCAAACTTTGTTAAAGCCTGTCACCAACACAAACTTTAACTTTCAATTATCACCCAGAGTTGACTTTGTCTTACTGTATCCAGTAGGCACCATCACTGTGGAACCCTCCCTTCAGCTTTGTGGCATTGGAGAGTAGAACCACAGGTGCCAACTGCGATTTATTTTGGGGGTAGAACCTATCATGTTTTTGGAGAACAAAGTAACAATCCTGTTGTCATTAAAACAAATTTTCCAATGATATCTGACTCGACAAACATTTAATGAGCTTTGACTTTGCACAAAGTGGTTTTTGAGGCTAGCACCTCTCCAAATTTAATGTGCATACACATCACTGGGAGATCTTAAAATCTAAGGGCCTGGAAGTCTCCATTTCCGTCCAACCAGTAAACTCTGAGAGAAGTTGATCTCTCAGAGTTTTTGACCACATTTTGAATAGCAAAGCTACAGGACCACAGAAGTAATACCATGGTCCCCTTCTCATAGAAGAATACAATCAAGTCAGGGAGAAAAATATACACAGTCACGCACTACAGCGCCATGTTTCAGTCAACAATGGATCACACATATGACCATGGTCTCAGAAGACGATGATAATTATCTAGCCTAACTGTGTGGTACCTATACCATCTACATTTGTGGAAATACACTCTGATGTTCACACAATGACAAAATCAGCTAAGAATGCATTTCTCTACACATATCCCTATAAAGAACAACAAGAAAAGTATTGATAAATGCAGGGCTCATTCTGCATTGATTCTTAACAATAATGAGTGTTCACTTAAAATCACTAACTGTTCAAACTGTGAAGTTTTGGTTGGAATCACAATCTTGAAAAAATGATCAATCACATACATTCTTAGGCTTGATTTTTTTTTTTTCAGAACTCAAAGGCACTGACAAGACTCTTGTCTTCCAACTTTCCATCAAAGAACTAAGACCAGTATCAAAGGCCAAGAAATTCTGAGGAAAGCTGCCACAACTCCCTTAGACAGCCATCAGGGAAGTGTCCATCAGCCCCCTTCTCCTAGTGCCTTCTACAGCTTAGTCTGGCAGGCAAGGATGGGGCGGAGACCCTAGGTGGCTGAACCTCTGAGTTGGCAAAGAAGAGCATATGAAACAGGCACTTCTGGGTTTGATTGCAAAATGCTGTGTCCTTGTGTTTATAAAATAAGCCAACCACACACAGCATCGTGTCTGATTCATTTTCCAGAAGCACTTCCAAAAGCAATCTTGTATTGGGCAAAGAGGCAAATTTCACCCTGAAGACTTTTTCAGGAAGTTGGAAGGTCAGACCCTTCCCCAACTATTTCAGAAGATAAAAATCAAATTAGAAAAATCTCAGATTTCAGTTTTGTTTAATTCTTTTCTCTCACATGACTAGACTAAAACAAAATGAAGGAAGTATGATGAAACGATGGTGACTTTCACTCTACATGCCACCTCCAGATGGAATTTTTCAAATGCAGGCATTTGGTCAAACTTCAAAAGTTTCTCCAGTTGGCAATGCTTATTTTCACATGGAAATCAGGTCTCTGGTCTCTGCCTCTCTTCACCACTTAACCCCTGGCTCACTCAGCTTCACTTTACCCATTCCAAGACCAGCCCCTTGATCTCTTACAGAGCCTCTAGGGAACTTTCTTGACCCTGACCCTTTCCTGTTTTGGCTTAACAAGAAGTCAGACAAATCTAACTATGCAAATCTGATGGGTGAGAACAAGTGTGAAAATAAATGAAAATCAACTAAGGGGGAAAACAGACTATGTACTCAGAACTTAATATAGCAAGGGGGCTGGCCACCATCACTTGGACTTGGCAGTGAGAAACTTGGAGTAGGAAAAAGGGCAGGCGTCAGGTGTGCCCTGAGTGGAGGCTGTGGGCCTGGGCAGCTGAGAGCAGGCTATCTGGAAGCCTGATATCTATGTGATTGATTAGGGGTACATGTTTGGCTTTCTCTGACTGATTGTCATCTGGGGAAGCTATTAAGTCCAGGTCATTTGGGCTAATTGTTACAGAAGTCCTTGTCTGTTTCCTGCATTGGTACTAGAGCTGCCAGTCTGGCTGCAAGTCTTCAGAGCCTGGAGACAGAGCCTAGCTCCCAAGGCTGGGTATTGTAGGTCAGGGGCTGGTTTGTTGGGTAGCTTGAGAAGGTTGGGGTCAGAGTTCTGTTTTTATACATTGTCTGGCTGCTGTCTGTACATTCAGTCTCTTAAGAGAAACAAAGAAGTTGGTGATTGATTGAAGGGGCTGATTTTTTTCTCCCTCATCCTTCCAAGCCTCTAATTTAGCAACTTATAAGGTAACACCCACACAGAGGAAATCAATGTGAGTCAACTCCCTGTATAGCTATCCTTATCTCAACCAGCAAAAGCCCTTGTTTCTTCCTATTATTGCTTATACTCTCTCTACAACAAAATTAGAAATAAGGGCAAAATAGTTTCTGCTGGGTATTGGGAGGGGGAGAGGGAAGGGGCGGAGTGGGTGGTAAGGGAGGGGGTGGGGGCAGGGGGGAGAAATGAACCAAGCCTTGTATGCACATATGAATAATAAAAGAAAAAGGAAAAAAAAAGGTTAAAAAAATCATCCATCAAAGAGAAATATTTGCCCATTACTATGAGAAACTAGATATTCTAGACAGTGAAGATAAATATTTAAACTTTTTGCAGAAATTGCCTCCAGTTTCCTTCCTCTCACACATTCTACTAACTGCTGCTCTGAATTTGAGATTTTGAGAGCACTAGAGTATGAAGAAAATCCTGGGACAGATGAACCATTTGGGGACTGTGTGCATAAACATGCTTCTCCAAAATGGTCAAGGGTCGTCTGTATGCTACTAGAAGTAACCAAACCACTCTGCCATCATCGAAATGCATTCCATCTTATTCAAGCCTCAGGAGACATGGGAAGAATCCACGGTCTGTTTTACATTTTCCTCTGAGCCCATCTGTAAAATAATATTCCTTTTCTCTATTACCCAAATATTACTATTTTAACCCTTTTTTTTTTATCTTTTCGTCCTTTTAAACACTCTGGGCTTTTTATCTTTCTTTGATATGAAAAGAAAAAATACCATACGTTAATTTTCTAACTTGGCAAAGGGAATGTTCTGCCCCAACCCTGGGCTGGGGGGGAGGTGGTAGGGAGAGAAGACAATGCAGGGATCTTCCTTACCGACAGGTTTTCTGTGGAGCTGAAACTATCTGCAAGGACCAATAGGCCAAAGGCTTCAGTGACACACTTGGTTACCATCCTCCTCTTCTTATCCAAGAGACTTTTCCTGATATATTCTCTTAACTTTGGGATTTCTGGAATTCACAGGCAGAACAAACAATTTTAAAAGGCCAAAAGTTGTAACCAAAAGAATTCATAAAAGTTGAAGACAAGGTTGGCGGTCTGGGTAAGCTACAGCTGAGGTCCTGTGTGGGCTGGCCAACTTTCTGAAAGACATTTGTCTTGTTGTGTCTCTGACCAACAACAATGAATGATAGATCAGCAACACTAAATATTAATTTTACTTCGTAGTACAAAATAAAATACATAGAAAAGTACAGACTGGGGCTGATGGAGTGGCTCAAACAGTAGTGTGCCTGCTAGCAAGCATGAAGCCCTGAGTTCAAATCCCATGCTGCCCCCCCAAAAAAGAAAGGAGGTAGAAAAGTACAGATTGGTTAAAAAAAATGGGCACTTTCCTTTGAGTTGGGACTCACTGCAGAGTCCACTCATTTGTGGAGGCCCAGCTCTTTTGTCCCCTAGATGTTTCTATCTGTGTCATGTAACCCTTAACATCAGAATGGCCCTCACTTGCTGTGGAGAGGAACAAGCATTTCTTATGTGTGGGATTCCAAATCAGAGCTGTCTTTATCCTAACCCTTTGTCAGGGGAGGGGCCAGATACCACTCTAGTCTTCCCCACCATTCCTGCACATAGTGATTTTTCTATGTTATTCCTGACACATACCATGTGAAATCTGTCTTTTATACCCTTGGCCAAGCAGTTCCCCTAATTCTGGGGACATGTCACACCTTCTTCTCCTTAGTCTCCATTCACATATGTACACATCTAGTAAAATGTGTGCACACTGTGGGCCCAGATTAAAGTCTGGCTCATACCATGCATGCTGGGTCAGTTATCAGGAAACCCTTGAGCCCACAAGGATCTCAATATAGCCTTGCCTCCTTCTGTACTCACAGCCAGCACCATTTAACTAAGTCTGGCTTTTCTTTCAAGTTTTGTACATGGCTTCCTATTAGCTCCTTATATAGACTAAGTTCTGTAAAGAAATGGACCAGGCTTTCTCCCTTTTTTTGCCTAACAAAGCACACAATACACACTCATAAATGGCACCTGGGTCTTAAGCTACATACTAAAGACATGATGATCAGGCCCCTTGACCTCTTCTAGCCCCTGGTAAGATTTGGTGGAGAGAGGAGTCATGGTCTCAGGCTGCACAACAATGCAGGGTTGTTGGAAAAAAGCTTCTGTGGCATGGGAAGTTCTAGAGCTGGATATTCAGAATGCCAAGCTTGGTCTTGAGAATGTTGGTAACTGAGGTAAGCAATGTCAATTACCAGTTTCCTCCTCAGTGAGGAAGGCCTGCTGCCAGTACTCTTGGGCGCTGACTGTGTATACCAGATGGGCGGCTTCCAGAACCTTGGAGTCAGCCGGCAGTTTTCTCTGCAGTGAGGGAGGCACACAGGTCATGGCAAAGAAATACTGCATAGACCTCAAGAAGGCATGGACAAATTTCAGCTCATTTACTTTCAGTTCTGCAAAAGCATCATGAAGAATAGACATGTTCTAAATGTCGTATTACCTTGCTGTGCACTCTTAGCAAGGTCAGAGACTGTGAGGAAACTTCTGCCTAGACACTATTCTGTGAGGAGCTAAAAACACCAATTCTAGAAGGAAAAGTAGAGAAAAGAGTTCAAAAGTATACATAAATGATCAGAAGGGGATTCTGATTGGTAAAGCAGCACGCAGAACACAGAGCAGGGGATGGAGGTCAGGGGCAGAGCATGTAGTTAGCATGTATGCGGCCCTAAATTCAATCCCCAGCACCCAAAAATAAAAACTAGAAAAAGTAGTACTTCGCTGGCAAAGGCCTCTGCCTCTGTGGTGAGTTGGAACCATTGTGTACCAACTCCTAGAGTTAACTGTCACACAACTTCCCAACTCTGCTTCGGTGATATCACATTGGTAGATTACAACTGGCTGGTGAGAGCGTTTGCCCCATAGGAATTGGCAAACTGTACAAATCAGTTTTGCATTATTATTTTTTAAAGAAAGAGCTGGTTTTTAAGCATTTTCCTGCATAACACAACATGGGGCAAAGCCCTATAAAAGAGGAAGTTTCTCAGCCAGGTAGCTAGTAAATCATCATACACATTTGAACTCAAAGTAATGTTTTAAGTAATGATGGCTTTAAATGTTAAGGAATTAAGAATTATGTGAGAAATAATTTTTTTTGAAACAGTGACTCATGATGTAACCCAGGATGGCTTGAAACTCTCAATCCTCTTGCCTCTACCTCCCCGGTGCTGGGATAATAGACATATGCTACTACATTTGACTCAACAGAAAAAATATTTTTATGATTAGAAAAACATGATCACTAAGAAGTCACACTAGTGTCAAACATTATAATGTTCAATAATCTTTCATTCTTCTCACTTAAAAGAGAAAAGCCACATAGAGTGTATATGTACACAGGAAATTGGGAGAGGTAGAAGATAACAGAAATGCAAAGATATAAAAAAGCTGAGTGACTAGAGGCCCTGTCATCCATGAGGGTTGGAGAAGCCATTCCTCTGGCAAGTTGTTAAAACAACATAGTTAAGGCTGGACCTGAGACCCCTGGGCCAGCTGCTAGAACCCCCCATGTTTGGATTGAATTGTGCCCCCCCATTCATATGTTAAAGTCCCAATCTCCAGTACCTGAAAATGTGACCTTATTTGGAAATTGGGTGATTGCAGATGAAATTAATTAAGATGTATATCGGAGTAGGTGTTCCCTAATCTAACATAACTACTGTTCAAATAAACAGTCGTTATGTAATCCTACTACTTGTGAGGCTGAGATCAGGAGGATTGTGGTTCAAGGTCAGCCTGGCAAAAAGTTCATGAGGTCTTGTCTTAACTGATAACTGGCATGGTGGTGCATGACTGTCATCCCAGTTATGCAGGAGGCTGAGATCAGAAGGATCATGGTTCCTGGCCAGCCCAGGCAAAAAAAGTTAATGAGACCACATCTCAATGGAAAAGAATTGGCTGTGGCGGCACACATCTGTCATCCCTGCTATTGTAGGAGGCTTAAAATAGGAGGATCGAACTCCAGGCTGACCTGGTCAAAAAGTGAGACCCTATCTCCAAAATAATAGCAAAAGGGACTGGAGGTGTGGCTCAACTGGTAGAGGGCTCACCCAGCAAGGGCAAAGCCCTAAGTTCAAACCTCTCTACTACCACCAAAAAGAAAAAGAGAAAAATTTTAGACAGACACACACACATCCACACACATGCACAAGAATGATGTGTGGCATTCCATGTGACAATGGATTTATGCTGTCACAAGCCAAAGAACTACCAAAAGGTGGCAAGAGGCTGGGAACAGAGTCTTTCCTAGTATTCAAAGGGGGCATGGCTTTGCTAACATTTTGGTTTTAGACTTCTAGTGTCCAGAATTGTGAAAGAATAAACTTCTGTGGTTCTAAGCCAGCTGGCTTGTGGCACTATGCTACAGTACCCAGCAAACTAACACTATGCACATGGTAAGTTTGGTCACAGTCATTCATATTGCCCTCCCTTCAAATGAGTATGTGAATTGTTGATGCTGCTCTATTTAACTGCTAATGAAAATATCTTCAAGAAGATGATCCAATAATTCAACATTGAAAAGAAGAATTATTATTTACATGGAAATAGAAAAGTGGGGTGTACATTTGATACTAGTGAAAAAATGCCCATGGTCAATAGAATGGGCAATAATCCCATATGCCTTGCAAAGTAACACTGTTTTCTAAGACCTAGGAAAAGGAGTTTCCCACATTTAAATGATGCTGAGCTAGGTGAAAAGCGATGCCATCACATATCCACCAAAAAAAGTTCCAAGATCAAAACTTGCAGGATGCTGACAACCCCAGAGACCACAGAGCAGCAGCCTCATAAGAAGTGTGGTCTCCCTGGTGCTCTTGGTGCACAGAGGATGACATTAGAGGACAGAATCAGAGACTCTGAGGCAAAGTATGGCTTACATGAGTTGGACTCTGAATGGAAAAATAGCTACAGAAATAGCTTAACCAACTTATTTTGGTATTTGTTCATTAGTTTTAAGGCACAGAATATATGGTTTTCAAAATCCATGTTGAAGAAACCTGATACAATTCTTCCAATAATATAAAGTAAAAACTCTAACATGAAAGCATTATGCCATGATTTAATCAACAGCATTTTTTTTTCTTTTTAGAGACCTACAAAAAGTGGTATATCTTAAAAATGATGCTTAGATTTTTTTTTTTTGAAATGAAAAATCTGCTTCCCAGGCTGCATGGGAGTTCTAGCAGCCAGAAAAAAATGTAAAAATAATTATAAAGGCAACAATGAAGTGAATCAAACCCATACATGTATATGTTGTTTTACATTGAGTTTTAGAAATGCTTTGCAAACACAATAGTCCGGTGTATGTTGCATCTACCTTTACAGGTGTTTGAAGTGGAAAAGTTCATAATTGTAGTTTAAAATACTTACAAAAATATAATTTGATTTAGGCCAGGTGTGATGGCTCCATGCCTGTAACCCCAGCTACTTGGGAGGTGGAAAGCAGGAAAATCATGGTTCAAGGCCAGCCCAGGCAAAAAGGTCACAAGATCCCCTCTCAATCAATTAAAAAAAAAGCTGGGTGTAGCAGCTCATGCCTGTCATCCCAGCTATGAAGGAAGTATACGTAAGAGAATTGCAGTCCTCCAGGCCCAGGCATAAATGCAAGATTCTATTTTAAAAGACAAAAAAAAAAGATGGGGGGCCTACAATGTGTGGTTCAAATGGTAGAGCACCTGCCTAGCAAGTCAAGGCCCAGTACTACCTACAAAATATAGCTAGATAGATAGATAGATAAATTTGGTTTTAAAATGTAATTTTATAAAGGAATTGAGCCTGTCAATTCTATATGCTAATGGAGCATTAATCAAAGTACACGAGGTTTAGCACAAAAATTACTAGAATTGTGACTAAGATGTCAAAGTTGAGCTTAAAGGCTCTGATTATTTTAACAGTTTAAATAAAAATTATTTCAATTAGGCAAAGCCTCATTTATGCCCAGCCCTCAATTACTTTCACAATAAAGTGAGCTGAACCAGGGAATGAACAAATTGCTCAGATGTGGTAGTTAACTGGAAGAGCCCCTGTGACACTGGGAGTTGAAATGGCTGCACAAAGGCAAGGGGCACCTTCTCTCTCCTAGTCACAGTTCCAAGGCCAGTATTTGTTGCACTCATCTTCTGTAGATCTCTGTACCCACAAGCTTCCCTGAGTGTGACCAGGAGTCTGCTGAGCACAGGACTGTCAGACCTGCCGCAAGCCAGCAAGGGCACAGTACTGGCCTCCACACTGCTCTCAGCACAATGTTGGGAAATGTCTTCATGACTCACCTGGATGTCTCTAAGGCTCAATTTCAAAACTAATGGAAGTTCTGTCCTACAGACTAGGAAAATGCCAGAGGTCTGCCTCGAGACATAGAGAAAGGTTTCCTTAGGTTTGTCTGCCAAAAAAGGCAATATTAAATCCTACCATTTTTCCTCTTTTAAAACATGCTCTTATTTTTTGATACTAAAATAATTTCCTCATAGAGATTGCTAGTGGGAAAATAAGTTTTCTTAACAAAATGTAACAAATCATTTTGGAGTTTATAGACTGAACATTTGCATCCCCCTAAAATCCATAGGAGAAGGTTTTAGGAGGTAGGGCTATTGCAAAGTGGTTAGGGGTGAAGGTGGGGCCCTTATGAATGGGATTAGTGCCCTTGACAAAGAAGACGCAAAGATTCTACGTCCTTTCTACCAAGTAAGGACACAGTGAGAAGGTGACCATCACTCTAAGAACCAGGAGGTGAGCACTTCCAGACACCAAATGTGTGGCTCCTTGATCTTGGGTTTCCCAGCTCACAATTTCTTCTGGAACTGTGAGAAATAAATGTCATTGTTTTAAGTCACCTGCTGTATGGTGTTTTTGTCAAAGCAGCCCAAGTGGGCTAAGGACATGCAGTGAGCCTCTAAAGGTTTAGAGAGAGGGTGAGAATTGCAGAATGACTTTAAAAAGCACCCTTTCAACGCCTTCCACTGCACTGTGGGAAAAGTGCCACTCTGACTAGCAGGAGAGGAAATGTGCATGGAATAATTTGTGTGTGTGTGTGTATGCTTGTGTGTGAGAGAGAGACAGACAGACAGACAAACAGAGATCATCCTTCCCTCTCTTCTTCTCTTGGCAACCCAGCTTCTAGAATAAGGAGCTGGCACAACACACTGCAACTCAGCTTCAAATCTGGTCCTCACACCGAAGGCCGCTCATGGAGGACCTTTGGTCTGATATCCAGTACCATTTTTTAGTCGGTCTTATAAGAATTCTTTGCAATTTTAAACTATCGAGCACTCCCTCTTCCTAACTCTCTTCTCTCCCACCTCCTGTGACTCCCTCCCTCCCTCCTGGTGCTTCCCTTAGTCCTCTGTCTCATTTTCTCTACAGGTTCTTTTTCCTTAGCTTTCACAATTTTCACTTTCAGAATTTTTAAAAATATCAATATATACCCTTATCAACATCTGCCTCATATTTCTATGATTGAAATTAAATTAGCTCCAACTGAAGGTATGTAGTACAAGGCAAGTTGTCACAATCATGCAAACAAATGAAGTGGCTGGAGACTTTCGACACCAGCTGGCCATGGTGGGGGTGGGGAGAAGGGTTGAAGACCTCAGAAGAACTTGCAGTAAGAACAGCAGCGACCCTGCAAGCTGACGCTGCCTCACAGCCCTAGCTCACGCAAACCAATTTGCCGCAATTATTAGCAATAAACATAGTTGTGAATTGTGCATCGAAGTCCTGTGTTTCCAATTCCAGAAATAATGAGATTAAGGGCTCATAAAATGCATATTTCTTTAATGCCAACAAGACCAACTCAAGAGATTAAGAACAGCTTAACTGAGTTATCGTCTCTTGAAAACTGGCATTCAATTCCTTGATGGAAGACTTTGGCTTAAGTGTGAGTCCTGATCCTCCCCAACTGTAAGCTTCGACATGACTTTTTCAATTCCGCGTAGTACAACAGTCATTTTCTGTTTCAAAATTATCAAAGTCAAAATGCAGAAAGATGAATATAGAGTTGGACATAGGCCATTGAACTGAGGACTGAAGATTTAATTTTGCAAAACCAAAACATCACACTATACTTACTCTCACATATCACTTATGTCATTTTGTTTATATTTCAACTTGAAATTGGTTTCACTTGTGTAGCTGTACATATCCATTAGAATAAGAAATTTTATGTTTATACTATTTTAGTCACAAAATAGTAAAAATAATTTAAGAAAACACTAAGATCCCCACAGGATGATTACTCAAGCTTGGAAAATGCAAGTTTTCAACACTTCTTGCATAAAAGTTCATCAAATATGGCAGCCTATTTCAATCAAGTTCTTGTCTCTGGCACAAGTGCCCACCCCCCCTACTTCTTCTTCACCTTACTTAAGGCTATTTGTTCTTTAAAGTTCTGCTCAAGAGGCCAAAAGCCTTCCCCAAACCTTTCCCCAGTATATATCTCCTTCTGTTTCCAGCAGGATTCAGGCATCTTTCCTATGCTCCCATGATGCACCATAATTTCCCCCACAGAAACACATCTCAAACTGTGTGGTCATCCCCTATTTACCTGGCCACATTTCTTGTAGAGCACATCTTTGTTCAATCCTCCAACAATTGCTGAGGCAGATATTGTTAGATCTCAGTTTTACAGGTGAGAAAGTTAGAGGCTTAGAGAAGTAACCTGGCTAAGGTCACAGAGGTATTAAGCAGTAGGACAACCCACTGGTATAGCTCAGGGGTACAGTGCTTGCCTAGCATGTAAAAGGCCCTGGGTTCAATCCCCATCACCACAAAAAAAAAAATAGTAGGACTGATTTAAGTTCAAATTGTTCATTCCAAACCTTTTGCCCTTGATACTACAAAGTTTAAATATACCTCTGTTGCTCAAACTCTGGTGGCTGAGAAACAGAAAAAATACCTAGGAAAATCTATAAACTCACCTTCAGTTTTTCCTTGAGAATTCCACTTCTTTCTAGTTTTATTGTTTCATTTCTTTCCAAAACAGCTTCTCGGTGACTTTGAATAGCTTGCTAGATTGGGAGAGAAAAATAAAAGTGTGCAAAGAAGCTAGGGTCATCGGTAGTGATGAGGTGATAAGACATACATTATTTTGGTTATCCTCATTTGGCCTAATCAATTACACATATATTAGGACTAGGTAGCATTGATCATAAAAAGCATTATTTAAAAATAACTGCTCCATACTTACATTTCCCACTTGTCTTTCCCTGAAAGGAAATTAGAAAAATGTTACAATGACTAAACTTTTATTTTGGATCCTGGCAGTTTTCCAACTTTCCCTGAAAGCAATACAAATGACTGTATCTGGGCCTTTGCACAACCTCTCTTTGATCCTCTTCTAACCATCTTCAGTGCCCATTTGGAAAAAGTGCCCTTCTTTCTCAGTGGTAAGCCAGTGTTTTGCACCTTGTTCCCTGTGGCCTTCAGAAGGCAGTCCCCTCAGCTGGATTCCCACAGCATTTTGTCACTCCCTCTCATATACTCTTCAATCCTCTTTTAGGCTGTGGGCTCTGAAACTAAGCAATCAGCAGCGTCTACCACAGTGTTAAATAAACACATATTAAATAAGATTTAATTATGGTTAGTTTCAGTGTTAACACTGGAAAAGGTGATCTTGGAATATTATTCTGTGAAAGTGGAAATGCAGAGAAACTGAAGGAGGCAAGAATGCTGCAGAAATTTGGACCTAGACCAAATTCGGAGCAAGTAAATTCCCGGAGATGGCAGTCAGACTTCAGTTTCAGTGAGCTTGGGAGGACTAGTGGAGGGGGAAAGTGGAGAGCTTTTTTTTTTTTTCCTTTGGTGGTACTGGGGTTTGAACTCAGGGCTTTGCACTTAAAAGACAGATATTCCATCACTTAAACCATGCCTCCAGGCTTTTTGCTCTGGTTATTTTATGGATAGGATCTTACTCTTGCTTAGGCTGGCCTAGACAGTGATCCTCCTATTTTAAGTTTCCCTCTCTGTAGGTGGGATGACAGATGTACACCACCGTACCCAGCTACTGAGATGGGGTTTCACAAACATTTTTGCCCAGGCTGGCTTGGAACCACAATGTCCCCAATCTCAGCCTCCCAAGTAGCTTAGATTACAGGCATGAGCCACAGGCACCTGGCTGTGAAAAGGTTCTTACAAGAGCAGAGAAGCAACAAGGACATTACGACTGCATCCCAAGACCATGTGCCCAGCACAGCCTAGTTCACACCTGTTTGTCCCCACTGGCCTTCTTTCCCTCTCAAAGCTGTCCAACATGGAAGATAAGTTACAGCCTTCTAGTTACTAGGGAACAGACGTCTACCCGGAAACCCACATCTCCTAACCCCCACCAAGCTCTCTGAAGCTCATCTTTCATTCTTAGATGTTAGACTGCTACTCTAAGAGAGTGCTCTTACTTTGAACCAGATTTCTAAAGCTTTGAGGACCTTTCCGCATGACTTAAAATTTTCATCAGTAGTCAAACCTGAAACTTCTTCAAAGTTGCACCAGGCCAAATAGCTTTACTGAATGTAACTCCTAGTCGTGGGGCATCTACATTTGCATACGTGGTGGGCTTGGGGGCCTCAGAACTCACATTCCAGGAGGTGCTATTTGCATATCATGTATGTGGTGGCATTCCTGGATCCAGTAGAGGACAGCCAGCTCAGCACTAAGCAGTTGCCCTGGAAGTGGAGCGACATGACTCGGACTCCCAGGTGACATGCCAAGAGCCACCCAGACTTGTCTTTCATCCCCGACAATCACTTCCTGAAGTTTGAAGTGATTATAATTATTAATTGTTTCAGTCAGGACCTGGGGGGAAGCAGCTGGGACCCACATTCTTGCAAGCCCAATCTCATACCTCAGATACTCTGGCAGGTGGAGTCTGTCGGTCTTGGTGACCACCAGGGCGATGTCCCTGCAGAAGCCGCGCTGGCAGGCTCTGATGCTCTCGTTCAGAAGATCTTCGTGGGCTCTTCCCCCAGACACTCTTTCTATGTCGCTGATCACCCAGAGCACTGAGCACTTATCAATGGTCTGTGGAACATGCCCACATGGGTGTCAGAATGTGGATGACATCTCAATTCTGCATGATGTGACTCCCCGGTGGAACACTTTCACTCTGCCTCTCCCCAAGTCCCACCTCACACAGGGTTCCCATTTCATTCTCCATACACCAGCCAGACAGGGCTTTTTGCAGGTATTCAAGTGTACCTTGCATTTTTCATTCTCAGGGCCTTTGCACTGCCATACCCTCTGCTTAGCCTCCATTTGTCCTTTAAGACAATGCTCAGCACAGACCATCATATGGACTGGCCCCCTCTCCCAGGCATCCGATATGCCTACACTTCTACCATAGTGCCTCTCGGACAGAATTACTCAGCAGTACAGCTCTTTGTCCCCCAGAGAGAAGGGGCTTTCTACACCTTACATCTTGGATTCCACCACACCTCAAGCACCTTGGTCCACTCCAGAGCTTCAAAGCTGCCCATAGCATGACTAATTGACAGAATTCAAGAAATTGGTCTTCCAGGCTCAGCTCTATCACTCGCTTGCTTAGCCTTGGCTGTCTTCTAGGAAAAATAACTTGTTTTCCAGAACTAGCTTGGGTCATGCATCTATCCCAAAGTTGTCGTCTTGTGGATGCATTCTGATGTTTGACTATCCTTGCATGTTTAGCACACAGCCACCATCTGGTGCAGGGAGCCAGATACCCTGTGATTCAAGTTGCAAAGACCAAAGAACACGAAATTACGAATAGCATAAATATTGCCTCATTAATATGCAACTTGCATGTGACAAGTAACCATACATGGTTCTGTGATGTTTCTCTTATTGTATTGTTTTGCTTGCCTTGTTTTCACATAAGTGAAACACTGCTACAAATTAGGGATCAAGTTTATTTGTGGTCGCTCACAACAATGCTTTGCATGTAAAGGTGTGACAAGTTTGTGCCTTGACAATTAAATCATTTTTGCTTTATAACAGTGGTTTTAACTAGTGAAGATTTTGTGCCCCAGAGGACATCTGGCAATGTCTGGAGATACTTTTAATTGTTACAACTTGGGGCTAACCATGGATAAAGGCTAAACATCCTATAATGCCTAGGACAGCCCCCTATAACAAAGAATTATCTGGTCCCAAATGTCATGAATTTGAGACCTTGATCTATAGTAGTGTGTTTCAAACCGTTTTGTCCAAGACCACAGCTAGAGAGTGGCAAAATTTGCAGTGGCGAGCACATTTACTGACTTCCCAGCTGGGGCTTTGTCTACCATCCTCTCCTCCCACCCAGGACATCCCCTCTATCTGCTTTATTCAAGACAAGGCAGCCCAGTGTCCTTCCCCTTGATCAGTACCTAGCTCATAATGAATGCATTAGGAAGAATTCCAGTGTATAAACTTGATTTTTAAAACCAAAGCTGCTCTGCTCAAGTTGGGAATGGATCATTTGGCACCACCACCTGCCACCTGCTCAATGCCCTCCGCTCTCTGTCCATGAGACTTTTGGCTCCATAGATCATTGAATAAAAATTTATTTCACCAGTTTGACAAACTCCTTGGCTTATGGAGAAGAAAACATGTCCTGAGATGTGAAGGGACCATTCAGAGCCACACAACTACAGGTCTTCCTCTATTAGTGAACAAATTTACATTTAGATAAGAAAATAAAAACACATGCTACTCTCTCATTTCTCAAATTATAATCAACTTAGAGAAGCTTGTGGCTCTTCAGTGGCCATGATGGGCAGCAAGCATCCCTTTAGATGTGGAAGATTGAAGGATGCCCAGCAGAGCCTCTTTCACCCTTGTATTCCCCTCGGTCCTGGCAAACTACAGGTGCTTAATAAATGTGTATTTACAGAGGAATGACTGCAATAATGAAGGCTGCAGTGCTTAGATTTCAGGCCCTGTACAAAGCTCCTGACTGGCAAGGCATGATAAAAGTAGAGTCGTGGAAGATGCAAAAAGCAAATCTATCAAGCAAGACCAAATGGACCTCTGAGTCAGGGGGATGCCCCCCACCATGCTTCCTTCCGTCCTCCCTCCCCAGGATGAGACAGGCCCTGGAGAGGTTAGGTGACACATCTAAAGTCACACAACATCTAAGTGGCTGACCAAGGCTGTCTGAATTTTAGGTTGTTTTTAGGGAAGGCAAAGCTGGCAGCCACAGAGATGTGTCACTGCATTCTGTTCTCTCTGGGAGGAGAGAGCCTTCAGGAATTTCTTATGAGAGGCCACTGTGAAACCACAGGAATGCAGAGGAGTTGAGGCCAAGCAGAACATACAGGGAACCATCCCTTCACTCCAGCCAACCTCCTCAGAGAGCATTTCCAGCCCAGATCTGCTGGCTTTGATAAGCTGCCCAATGGATCTGGACACGCCATCCAGGGAACAGCCGGGCTCCTCCCCAGGCTGTCACTCCCTCAGTTAGCCTGGATCTAGCAGAGGTTGGTGGTTCCACTTCCAGAACTGAGACCCTGCAGTAACTAAGACTCACAGACCTGAGCCAGCTGATTAAGAGGAAAGACACTGGGGTTGCCTTGTCTTAAAGGAAGTACAAAAGGGGAATATCCTGTGGGGAGAGGATGGTAGACAGAGCCCCAGCTGGGAAGCCAGGAAAGTTGTTCTTCACTTCAAGTTCTGCCACTCACTAGCTGTGTGGTCTTGGTCTTGGTCTCTCTGAGCCTTCATTGCTTCATCTGTAAAACTGGAGCACAGGCTAGATGATCTATAAGTGGTCCTCTGCTGTAAGTAGTCACAGGAAACTAGTCACAAAGCTCCTCCCACCCACAGTTGTTTCTAGCGCAAATCTGCAGAACTGAAAGAACGCTGCTGGTCATCCTACTCTGTGCATCCTCTGTGCCTGTCAAGGTTGGGTACCATACTTCTATGTTGCTATCGGTGCGATCCAATGCTGCTTTGACCCACCAAGCGCTTTCTTTCTCTATCACATGCCCTGGTCCCTCTTATCTTTCAGATTTTCCCAGGAAGCTAAACTCTGCTGCAGTAGTATTATAGTATCTGCCCAACTTTTCCAGGCTGGTCTTCTATCTACTCCTCCTCCACAAACCCCACGACTCTCCCTCTCATACCAAGAACATTACCCTTCCCACAACCTGCCAGCTCTCTCAGTCCTCTGGCTCCTGGCTCTGCTGCTCTCTGGCCTGGAGTGGTGCACAGTGGCTTCACTCCCAACCCCCTTATTTGCTTAGTGGAGGCCATCCTCCACCCTGTCCTCTCTGAAGTCCCACCCACCTCCAAATGGAAATCAATCCCTTTTCTCCTAGGTTCCATGGCTTGTTAATTACTATGAACTAGGAGACACCCACGGACAAGGACTTTGTCCTGCTGGAACCTACTATAAAATTGAGCAGGTGCTCAACAGGTGTTTGTTGAAGGAATGAGGTGACTAGTTGGAGGTCATTTCTGCTTTTGGGTGCCTACAGCACCTTGTATTTCTCCTATGTCACTGTCTGCCACTTATCTAGCCATCTGTATTTTTTTCTTCCGTGGCTCTGCTTTCATTTATTGTTGTTTTATTTTGCTTTCAACATTTCAGTTGCAAAAGCAACATATGTTCATGCAAAATAAACAAGCAACACAGAAGTATATGGAGTAAAGAGTGACACTAAACACAGGAACTGATGTTAGTAGTTGGGGTATAGCTTTCCTGAATCAAGATGTTACTTCTGCTGTGCATTTACAAACATTATACACACATACACATACATGTGCACACACGAACTTGGACGGTGACTTCTGCAACCATTGATTCAACCAACCATGCATAGAAAATATCTTTTAAAATTATTTTGTACTAAATTTCATTTTCTTATTATTTTTCTAAGTAAAATAGTATGACAACTATTTACATAGCTTTTGGAGTGTAGTAGGAGCTGTAAGTCATCTAGAGATGACTGAAGTCTGCGGGAGGACATGTATAGTTATATGCAGATACTATGTCATTTGATATAAGAGACCTGAGCATCTGAGGATTTTAGTACCCACAAGGGTCCTGGACCAGTCCCTCATGGATACCAAGGGATGACTGCATGGGATTCTCTTTCCCTTCACTGAGTGTTACTTTATCATGTAGGATGTTGTAGAAGTTAAAAGCAGAGGCTCCTGACACGTCTTGCCAGGGCAAAAAATCTCAGTGCTATAATGTACAAATTACCTTAGAACAGTTCCCTGGGCAAAGCAAATGCTCAATAAATATCTACTGTGATTATTGGCTATAATCTTTGCATCATCAGAGCTTGGTACGATATATGTGTATATATATATTAGTATATATATGTGGTGTATTTTCGGAAACATACCAATCTCTAATCATTAGGTGCAGTTAGTGCTTAACTCTCTGGTGGTTCTCACTTCTAGGGGACTTCCTGTTCAACTCACCTCTAGGAGGTGGCTGATCATTCCATTGCTCAAAATTGAAGCCCTAGTCCAGCCTTTGGCTGAAGGGATTCACTTTCATCCAGACCACCTCCTCTGCTACAGCTGATCACATTAGAGATGGACACCTGATCTGGAAAGAATCACTCCATCAGCTTGGCAGAAATCTATCAGACTTTTCTTCCTAGGAATTTGAGCTAAAAGACAAAAAGACTATAGTGAGACAGCAGTAGGCCCATGAACAGCAAGGTCATTTAGAGCCAAGGTTAAGGCTGTCATTTTTGACAATGTGGATCCTAATGGCTGGGAAAGCTAAGAGGGAAATGGGACTTTGTGACAAGATAGACAAAAAAAAAAGCAGAGTCAAAGCACTGGGCAGAGAATGAGAACAGCTTATTCAATCAGTGGTCTGGCTATGTCTCATATGAGAGCCTTTGATATCCTTTCACAAAACTCCTCTTGATTTGGTATTGATTTGGTGGATTTCTGTCCCTTACAACCAACACAGTTGTGTCTCTTGGTTCTTCAGTGATTGGCTATTCTGCTTTGCACCTGTTGCATCCTTTGTGTTCATGGCCTCCCTATACCACTCTGCCTGTTTACCATGCTAACTCTTAGGCCTTCCTATTGCTGGTCCTTCTCATATATCACATACCCTTGTTACAGCTTCCAGACCTGCCCTGTGATTCCTCCCTACCCAATTTCTACCCATATCCTGACATTTCCCTGCTCTATTTCATTTTTTTTTTTTTTGGCAGTACTAGGGTTTGAACTCAGGGCCTCACACTTGCTAGGCAGGCAGTCTACCACTTGAGCCACTCTGCCAGCCCTACTCCATTCTAGAACATAGAAAGTAGAATTTAATCTTAATGATCTAACAAAGTCACTTAGAGCAGAGAATTCTTTGTTGCTTATAAAGGGTAGTGGGATTGTGGGAAGAGGGATTGAAGCTCTATGAAAGAGAGTCACCTTTTTCCACATCTCATCCCTTTTGCTGTTGAAGTCACCAGTGCCTGGAATGTCTACCAGCACAACTCCTGCTGGAATCAGTGCAGATTTAGGAAGAGTCACTTCCACATATTTGATTAAGGGCCAGATTCGTGTCTCAGCTGATTCTTCAGCCCGGTCTCGCCTCTGAGTTCGGATGTAGGGGTCCAGTTTGATAGACAGCTCACCTGCCTGAAGAGAAAGGACAAGATCACATGCGCCAGCCACTTCCCCAGATCTTTTCCTAGGTTGGCTATGATACAGGCTTACTGAAGGCATACTGAGTAATGGTGACAAGCACCTGGTCAATGGGTGTCAGGAGGCTTAGTATCTTCTCTGCCAGAGTCTAGAAGACCCTGAAGAACCAAGAAGGATCCTGGAGACCTAGGAGCTCAAGTTCTTTCACTTTTAGGTGAAGAAACCCCAGTCAGCTAGAAAGGGACTTCGGGGAAAATTATAGCATCATTGGATAATAAATCTATCTTCCAAATTACATTTGATTTAAAATTGATTTAATTAATATGCAATATTCTAAATTTTGGAGATAGTGAGTCCTCCCACATGGAAAATGTGAACATTTTAATTCCAGAAAGCAGTAATCATAAAAAAATCAATTGTGTATGGTGACCATATTTTCCAAATTGCAAATTGATCTTTAAAAAGGTTTTTAAAAAGTATCTTCAAACTAAAAAAAAATCTTGATATGTAGGCTTTTCCAGGACATTTTAAGTAAGTGGAACAGGAGAGAGAGCACTCAGCCTCCTGTTCCAGCTTAAACATATCTGGGGACAATGACACATCCATGTTGGTAGTTATGGCAGTCAATCTCAACTGGGACACTTCAGAAGGCAGAGCATTAGGGATATATGGTGGTCATTGTTAGTAAATGTCTATAGAATGGTGCAGAAAGAAAGATAACAGTGTTGATTCTTAAGAGTTTAGGCTAAATCAGTGGACTTGTTGCAATCTGGGTATAAAGTAATGAATTCATCAATTCTAATAAAGTGACAAACTGAGAAAGAGGAGCTAGTAAAAGTTATTTAAGACATTTTAATTTAAAATAAAAGCAGCTACAGTAAGAGGGAAGTGCAGGAAAAGGTATGGGCTCAAAAAGCCCCTTTCTATAAAAGAACTTGGCCCAACGCACTGGGCTCAGGGCAAACCACTGTGGAGGGTGAATTCAGGTTCCCTCAGCTCATGTAGAATCTCCAGTGGAAATCCTGAATTTGTAACCTCATTCACTGAGATGGTACTTCTGCTCCCCTTGTTTAAATAAATCAATTTGTAATGCTGGGAAAGAATATTTCTAAATACAGAGGTGGCAAAGAAATTAATAGTATATCGAAATCTTTGTGTAAGTTATATGTATTCAGATAATTGATTTTGTAATCATTATGTATGATGGATATGTTCAGTCTATGTTTTTAGAAATAAGAACATAATCTCTTTTTTTTGGTGGTGTTAGGAATCAAGCTAGGGAAACACTCCACCACTCATCTACATTCCCAGCCTGAACATAATCATTTTTAATAGCAATATCCATTTAAATATAAGAATTGGATACTAAAAAGCTGGGTGTGGTGGATACCTGTAGTTAAAGCCCTAAGGAGGCTGAGGCAGGAAGATCAAGAGTTTAAGGCCAGTCTGAGGTACATGGTGAGACCTGTCAAGAGGAAGAAAGAAGAAGGAAGAAAGAAGAAGAAGAAGGAAGAAAGAAGAAAGAAGAAAGAAGAAAGGAGGAGGAGAAAATATGTATATATTTGGTTGATTCTCAAGAGATGGCTAAGTACTTTGAAAAGGTTTCATTCATTTGACTTCTAAGTATGCCTATCAAGTATTTAAGATATTTTGAGAAGATCAAATATATTGAGCTTTAATTGTAATACAAAAAGTCCTAGGAAATTTAATTACATAAGTAACATTAGATATTTAAGAAGGATTTGTTTTGTTGTTCAGGGGTTAATTGAACATTAAATTTTAGGACAACTGTTCTTATTTTAAGAACAGTTTTAAGCAACTGTTTCTTATTTTATGCAAAAATTGCTATACTTATAAAGAATAATATCTTAAAGACAAATTTTAAGAAACAAGGGAAGCTAGGTTTTTAAATGCATAAACAATAAAGCAAACATTGGTTCCACATTTTGTCTTACTATAGAAATTGAATTTTAACTTAATAAAATGAATACTGACTATGAAAATGAGAAGAGTACACTAGTTGCCTATCCTTCATCCATGCTAGAAGAATCCTGACTTCTTTTTTATCTGTCAGGAGGTGGTAGTGAATGAAGTTGATTCAAGCCAATAAGGACAAGTTTGCTTCTTACCTTCTCCAGACACCCTTTCAGATAGAAAGGGCCATATGGCTCAGCTCTGAACAATGAAATCTCTACACAGATTTATCAAAGGTGTTTCTGAGGAAGCTTTTATTCCTGATGAAAGTGGGGACAGGGTTGGTGCTAAGTCTTACCACTTCTTTCCATGAGGCTTGCTGTGAAGTCTAGCACTTCACTAGCAATTTATGACTGGGAGTCAAGCATGAGGGAAGGCCAAGAGACCAAACACAGGTTGATCTTGACATTGTTGAACCCCCAAATCAAGACTCTACTGTCTCCAAACTTCTTACATGAGAAAATGAATAGACACCTATTTGCTTAAGCCCTTATCTCTCTTTTTTAAAAATCATTTGCAGTCAAAAGACAACCTTGAGGATTCCAAGATGGCAGCAGGAAGATGGAGGGAGGAAGCAGAAAGCTTGCCTCCTAAAGTAAAATCTTGGAGAGACACTGGAGATACACCTTACAGGAAAAATCACCAAGAAGAGGCAAAACGTTGACTCCTCCACACCTCCAGCCTGTGCATAGCATCTCTACCTCACGTTAAACGGAGAAACCAGGAGGGCTCCCGCGCCGCCACCAGACGGCAGCACCCAGATGGCTTGGGAAGATGCAGACCACAAGGTGAGCTAAGTGGTACGTGGTACTTCCACAGACAACCCTGGGCCAGATCAGCATAGCCCCCTAGACAGATTGACCCCCACCCAGGGAAAAAAGAAAAAAACCTGAATAATAAGCAATAACAACAAAAAAGACACATAGCAAAGAGGGCAGGGTGCCCTGAGTGCCGAAGAGGGGGGGAGGGGAAATTCCTCCTGGAACTGTAAATAAACAAGCTGGCCAGAGAAGGCAGGAGCAGCAGCACACGCCCAGCAATCAGGAGCAGGAACGCTTGTAAAAGTGGCAGTGGGAGGAAAACTCCACAGGAGGGGGGGAAGACCCACCTCCCATGTGAACTGTAAATAAACACGCAGGCCTGAGAAAGCTGGTGCAGTGTCACCTCCCCCAGTGTGCTTGGAAAGGGGAAAGCTTGTAGGAGTCCCCACCCAGGAGAACTCTAAGTAAACAAAGCCTGAGGGGCCAGGTGAGTGCTAAGCTCACTCCTGAGATCTGCATAAATAAAGCCTCCAGCAACAGCAGGCTGACAGCAGGGGGCAGGCAAGCCACAGCCTCAGATAGCCATTCACAGAACTGTTTCCAGACTCTTTTTTTTCCTCTCCCTACCTTTGATGAGACAACAACCAAACTACACCTGCATGCTGAAAAACTTACTGAAACTGTATTGCATTTGAACTTGGAACACTTTGTGGGGTCTTTTTTGTTTTGTGCTGTTTTGTTTTGTTTTGCTTTTTGAGTTTTTTCCCCCTTTGATGAGACAACGACAGAACTACTTCTGAGACATCATCTCCAGGATTGGAGGCTGAGGGACAAACATCAAAATTATTAAGACTGAAACTTTATTGCATTTGAACTTGGAGATTTTTTTTACATTTATTGTATTTTTTTTTCATTTAGTATTTTTATTTTTATTTTCTTCATTTTTTATTTTCAGTCCTCTCTCTGTCTCTCTAATGCCTGTTCAGCTTACTGTTGATTAGTACACTATTTCTCCCTGTTTATATCTTTGAAACTTTTTTGGTTTTTTGTTTTGTTTTTTCTACTTGTTTGTTTATTTGGTTTTCCCTTTTTCTTTAACTTCTTTGCTTTCCATCTCCTCTCACCCTTCCATTCTAAATATCACCATTGTTACTATTACAAGCTAGAAAATACTTAATTGCATACAGTACAGGGACAGTAACAACACCAAGGGCAATGATGGGAAGACAGAAAAAACAGGAAAACCAGTTTCCCCAGAGCAAAAAATTAGTACAGGAACCAGAGGGAAATGAAGAAAACAGATACTCAGATCCAGACTCCAACAAAATGAAGATAAACTATGCCAAAGAACCCAATGAAACCCACAAGAACAATCTAAAAGAAGAAATACTACAGATAATCAATGAGAATTTTATAGAGATGATACTGGATATGGTCAACCAACATGTACAGGAGACACTCAAGAAATTCCAAGATAACAAAAATAGAGAATTTGAGAAAGCACAAGAAGAAATAAAAGAAACCATAGAAGCACTGTATAAACACCAAAGTGAAACAAAGAACACGATTAATAAAGAGATAAATGAACTCAGGACAAAAATAGACAACATTAAAAAGGAAGGGACTCAGGATATGGAAAACCTCAGAAAAAAGAACGAAACAGAATTGCAAAACAAAACGGAAGGTCAATCCAGCAGAATAGAACAAACAGAAGACAGAATCTCAGGAATTGAAAATGAAATGGTAATTAAAGGAAAAACCAAAGAACTATTAGTTAAACAACTCAAGACCTGTGAAAAGAAAATGCAAGAACTCACCGACTCCATCAAAGACCAAACCTGAGAATCATGGGCACCGAAGAAGGAGAAGAGGTGCAAGCAAAGGGAATGTGTAATATACTCAACAAAATAATAACAGAAAATTTCCCAAATCTACAGAAATCTATTCCCATACAGATGCAAGAGGCCTCCAGAACACCAAACAGACCAGATCAAAATAGAAACATCCCATGGCATATCATCATTAAAACAACAAGTTCAGAAACTAGGGAAAGAATATTGAGGCTGTAAGAGAGAAAAAACAAATAACATACAAAGGTAAACCCATCAAAATAACAGCAGACTTCTCAACAGAAACATTAAAAGCAAGAAGGGCTTGGGGTGAGATCTTCCAGGCACTGAATGAAAATAACTTCAACCCTAGGATACTCTACCCAGCAAAACTATCATTCAAAATAGATGGAGCAATAAAAGTCTTCCCTGATAAGCAGAAACTAAAACAGTATGTGACCACAAAGCCACCACTACAATAGATTCTTCAAGGAATTCTGCACACAGAAAGTGAAACCAAACATAACCACGAAAGGGCAGGCAGCATCAAACTATAGGAAAAGAAAAAGCAAGAAAGTAGAAGTAACCTCAACTTAGGTACACACAATCAAACCTTCAAACAACTCAGACAATTAAATGACAGGAATCACCACATACCTATCAATACTAACACTTAATGTTAGTGGACTTAATTCCCCCATCAAAAGGCACCATTTGACGAACTGAATTAAAAAGGAAGATCCAACAATTTGTGCTTACAGGAGACCCATCTCACCGACAGAAATAAGCATAGGCTCAGAATGAAAGGCTGGAAGAAGATTTACCAAGCCAATGGCCCCCGAAAACAGGCAGGAGTAGCAATACTTATCTCTGACAAAGTAGACTTCAAACCTACATTGATCACATGAGATAAAGAAGGACATTCCATACTAATAAAAGGGGAAATAGACCAAAAGGAAATAACAATTATCAACCTATATGCACCCAATGTCAATGCACCCAATTTCATCAAACATACCGTGAAGGACCTAAAAACATATATTAACTCCAACACAGTGGTCGTGGGAGACTTTAACACCCCATTATCATCAATAGATAGGTTATCCAAACAAAAAATTAATAAGGAAATCCTAGATCTAAAATATATAATACATCAAATGGACCTACTTGATGTCTACAGAACATTTCATCCAACTTCTACACAATATACATTCTTCTCAGTAGCCCATGGAACCTTCTCCAAAATAGATCATATCCTAGGGCACAAAGCAAACCTCAGCAAATAGAAAATAGAAATTATACCATGCATTCTATCTGAACACAATGCAATAAAACTAGAACTCAAGAACAAAAGTAAAGACAAAAAACATGCAAACAGCTGGAAACTGAATAACTCATTACTTAATGAACAATGGGTCATTGATGAAATAAAAGAGGAAATTAAAAAGTTCCTGAAAGTCAATGAAAATAAAAACACAATCTACTGGAACCTATGGGACACAGCAAAGGCAGTCCTGAGAGGAAAATTTATAGCCATGAGTGCATATATTAAAAAGACTGAAAGATCCCAAATCAATGACCTAATGATACATCTCAAACTCCTAGAAAAACAAGAACAAGCAAATCCCAAAACAAATAGAAGGAGAGAAATAATAAATATAAGAGCTGAAATCAATGAAATAGAAACCAAAAAACCATACAAGAATTAATGAAACAAAAAGTTGGTTCTTTGAAAAACTAAACAAGATCGACAGACCCCTGGCAAACCTTACTAAAATGAGGAGAGGAAAAACTCCATATTAGTAGAATCAGGAATGCAAAAGGGGAGATAACAACAACACCATCGAAAAGTCCAGGAAATCATCCAGAGACTACTTCAGAACCTATAATTCAAAATAAATTTCAAAATTCTTACAGGGAAATGGGGAACAGATTTCTAGACACATCTTGATCATCCAAAAACTGAACCAAGAGGATTATTAAGCACCTGAATAGATCTATAACACAAAATGGAAATTGAAGCAGCAAAAAGAAAGTCCAGGACCTGATGGGATTCTTCTGCTGAATTTCTAATCAGACTTTTAAAGAAAGAAACAGACACGAACCCTCCTTAAACTGTTCCACAAAATAGAAAGGGAAGGAAAAACTACCTAACACATTTATGAAGCCAGTATTACACTTATCCAAAACCAGGCAAAGACACCTCCAAAAAGGGAACTATAGGCCAATCTCCTTAATAACATTGATGCAAAAAATACCTCAATAAATAATGGCAAACCAAATTCAACACACATCAAAAAATATATTCACCACGACCAAGTAGGCTTCATCCCAGAATGCAGGGTGGTTCAACATACGAAAATCAATAAAGTAATAAACCACATTAATAGAACAAAGACAAAAACCACTTGATCATCTCAATAGATGCAGAAAAAGCCTTTGATAAGTCCAACAACCACTTTCATGATAAAAGCTCTAAGAAAACTAGGAATAGAAGGAAAGTACCTCAACATAGTATAAAGCTATATATGACAAACCTACAGCCAGCATTATACTTAATGGAGAAACTGAAAACCATTCCCTCTAAAATCAGGAACCAGACAAGGATTGCCCACTATCTCCCACTCCTATTCAACATAGTACTGGAATTCCTAGCCAGAGCAATTAGCAAGAAGAAGGAATAAAAGGAATACAAATAGGTAAAAAACTGTCAAAATATCCCTATTTGCAGACAACATGATCCTATACCTTAAAGCCAAAACTCTACTCAAAAGCTCTAGACATCATCAATAGCTACAGCAAGTTAGCAGGATATAAAATCAACATAGAAAAATCATTAGCATTTCTATACACTAACAATGAACAAACTGAAAAGAATATATGAAAACAATTCCATTTACAATAGCCTCAAAAAAAATCAAAACCTAGGTGTAAACCTAACAAAGGATGTGAATGACCTCTAAGGAAAACTAAAACTTCTGAAGAAAGAGATTGAGGAAGACTATAGAAAGTGGAGAGATCTCCCATGCTCATGGATTGGTAGAATCAACATAGTAAAAATGTCTATACTCCCAAAAGTAATCTACATGTTTAATGCAATTCCCATCAAAATTCCAATGACATTCATTAAAGAGATTGAAAAATCTACTGTAAATTTATATGGAAACACAAGAGGCACAAATAGCCAAGGCAATACTCAGTCAAAAAGAACAATGAGGTATCACGATACCTGACTTCAAACTATATTACAAGCAATACAATAAAAACAGCATGGTACTGGCACAAAAACAGACATGAAGACCAGTGGAACAGAATAGAGGACCCAGATATGAAGCCACACAACTATAACCAACTTGTCTTTGACAAAGGAGCTAAAAATATACGATGGAGAAATAGCAGCCTCTTCAACAAAAAACTGCTGGGAAAACTGGTTAGCAGTCTGCAAAAAACTGAAACTAGATCCATGTATATCACCCTATACCAATATTAACTCAAAATGGATCAAGGATCTTAATATCAGACCCCAAACTCTAAAGTTGATACAGGAAAGAGTAGGAAATACTCTGAATTAGTAGGTATAGGTAAGAACTTTCTCAATGAAACCCAGCAGCACAGCAACTAAGAGATAGCATAGATAAATGGGACTTCATAAAAGCTTCTGTTCAACAAAGAAATGGTCTCTAAAACTGAAGAGACCCACAGAGTGGGAGAAAATATTTGCCAGCTACACATCAGACAAAGGACTGATAACCAGAATATATAGGGAACTTAAAAAACTAAATTCTCCCAAAATTAATGAACCAATAAAGAAATGGGCAAGTGAACTAAACAGAACTTTCTCAAAAGAAGAAATTTCAAATGGCCAAAAACACATGAAAAAATGCTCACCATCTCTAGCAATAAAGGAAATGCAAATTAAACCACACTAAGATTCCACCTCACCCCTGTTAGAATAGCCATCATCAGCAACACCACCACCAACAGGTGTTGGCAGGATGCGGGGAAAAAGGAACCCTCTTACACTGCTGGTGGGAATGTAAACTAGTACAACCACTCTGGAAAAAAATTTGGAGCTACTTAAAAAGCTAAACATTGATCTACCATTTGATCCAGCAATACCACTCTTGGGGATATACCCAAAAGACTGTGACACAGGTTACTCCAGAGGCACCTGCACACCCATGTTTATTGCGGCACTATTCACAATAGCCAAGTTATGGAAACAGCCAAGATGCCCCAACTGACGAATGGATTAAGAAAATGTGGTATTATACACAATGGAATTTTATGCAGCCATGAAGAAGAATGAAATGTTATCATTCGCTGGTAAATGGATGGAATTGGAGAACATCATTCTGAGTGAGGTTAGCCTGGCCCAAAAGACCAAAAATCATATGTTCTCCCTCATATGCGGACATTAGATCAAGGGCAAACACAACAAGGGGATTGACTTTGAGCACATGATAAAAGGAGAGCACACAAGGGAGGGTGAGGATAGGTAAGACACCTAAAAAACTAGATAGCATTTGTTGCCCTCAATGCAGAGAAACTAAAGCAGCTACTTTAAAGCAACTGAGGCCAATAGGAGAAGGGGACCAGGAACTAGAGAAAAGGTTAAATCAAGAAAGAATTAACCTAGAAGGTAACACACATGCACAGGAAATCAATGTGAGGCAACTCCCTGTATAGCTATCCTTATCTCAACTAGCAAAAATCCTTGGTCCTTCCTATTATTGCTTATACTCTCTCTCCAACAAAATTAGAGATAAGGGCAAAATAGTTTCTGCTGAGTATCGAGGGGGTGGTGGGGAGAGAGATGGGGTGTGGGGTGGTAATGGAGGGGGTGGGGAGAGGGGGAAGAAATGACCCAAACATTGTATGCACATATGAATAAAAAAATGGAAATAAGTGAATTTTGCAATTAAATAAATTTGGGACAGAAAAAAAAGACATCAATTAATTCTCAATTAACTGTACATACTCTTTTCTGAGCACAAAAGCTCCCCCATTAGACACCAAAGATTTCCCTTTGACAGCAATATATAATGAAAGGCAACTTGGGTCATAGGTAACTCTGACTTGGGTACCAATTTATTTCCAATAAAAAATATTGTACCTTGGGAAATTGCCCTAAATAGATTCAACTGTTATACTTTAGATCCATGATATGATAAAGAAAGAAAAATTCTAAGCTACCTCTTCTGCCTTGAGAGTGATGATTCTTGAGGTGGGAATCTTCCCTTTGGGCTTTGCCCTTAGTAAGTCCTCATATTTCCTACTTTCTGCCCCGGTTCCATAGATCATCTGTAGCTTCCAGGTGGCTTCGTCCATGGCATCATCCCTATCCCATGTGTCAGCTTCTTCACCAAGCTCCTCAGTCCCATGCAGGAGTTTAGTCAAGTTCTTTAGTTCCTCCTTCCACTCCTGCCAAAGAAAAGTAGGACCATAGCCCTCTTGACACAGACAGAGGAAACAGTAACAAAAGGAGGACAGAGCCCTGTGGAGACGTACATTCAGAAAACCTAAGAGCAGCTACTCCAATCCCTTTGTTTTGTGGATGAAAATGGCTGGCCCAAAGTCCCATAGTTGCTGCCACAGAACTTGGGCCAAAACCCCCCTCTCACTCTCCTGAACTTTCCATTCTGCATTATGTCCTTTTCATTCAACAAAGGCATGAGCTATATTTATTAGGAATATGTTAATCTCTGAGAGAGAGAGTGAGAAGGGAAAATGAAAAAAGGGAGAAAAGGAAGAGAAGGAAAAGAGGAAGGGAGGGAGGAAGGAAAGGGAGAGGGAGGAAGGGAGTACTTACCTGGTCAGAGAGAAGGTGGATTTTGGCCTCGTACTGCTCACAGCAGCCTGAACTCACTTGTACAATACATGAAGTACAAATGCTTTCTCCAGACACTGGCAGGAACATTGCTTGCTGGATGATGGCATTGATCAGGGAGCTTTTTCCAGCCCCAGTGCTTCCCAATAACCCAATGTAGATTGGGTCCAATGGTGGTTTTTCAATCAAGGCAAGAAGCCTGTTTCTACATCAATTTTAAAATGCACATTAAGTATAGAAAGAAAAATATCAGGGCAGAATGCAAAGTATCTGAGTTAAATCCTGGGCAACTCATTACATCCTTCCAGGTCTCTACCCTCGTCTTCATCAAAGGGGGACATTAATCCATTTACTATACTGAGATGGCCTGGGGAGCAAATGAGACTTGCAAAAATACTTGATAAAGATAACTCTCCACAAACTCTGTGCTTTATTACAGATGTGAATCATTCTTCTTTGTGTTCTATGGAAATTGCATATTCTTGCTCCTAATAAAACATACACAGAGGTAAAGTAGTATAAGGAGCAACCCATAAAGGTTGCTCCGAGTGGGCTCTCATGTATCAATTATTACTGTGAAGGAAAAATTGTGGCCTTGGCACACAATAGTTGGGGACACTTTCTCAGAGTCGCACAGTCTAGGCTTTTGCTTTTGCTCAATGTCTTAGCCTCTCTGAGCCTCAATTTCAGTAATATAGGGTGATTATAAGGATTTCTACTCTATAGGGTTGTTGAGAGTATAAAATGAAATTGGAGGACTGGGGGTAGCTCAGTGATAAAGGGTTACATAGCATACTGGAAGCCTCAGCACCACAAAACAAAAACAAAATGAAACAAAATAAAACCCCCAGGTATCTGTAAAGGATTTAGCAGATTACCAGACAGGAGTGACAACACAATGGATGACCACTGTCAATGATAATAACAGATACAAATAATAGCTACAGAGCTTCTCAGTCTTCTTTGCTCAGTTTCTAAATGAAACTAAGAGGGGAAGGGGAGAGGTGGAAGGAAAAACACTGGATTGGAAGGTACAGATTTCAGACTCACATAAGATATTTGACTCCATTAGGAATGCCGTCGTCCAGGAAGATGGACTGAATCAGTTTCTGGTAAGTGTTGCTCAAAACCCTTCGGGTCCGTGACTCCAATTTTTCATCTGGAATCAACAGAAATCTATTACCTGGGATGTACCCGGCAGGGTTTAACTACTAAGTCTCCAGAGGAGGAGTCTGCTGAATACTACAGAGAAGGGAACAAAGAAATGAAATGAAAACTAGAGAGCAGGCTATCTGCCACTGGAGGTAATTCTCTACAGAGACAGCAATAAGGACTCTGACAACCTCCAAAGGGTCAGCTTGCATTGCTTTGCCCCATAAAATGATCATCAAATGAGTTGCCATGGGTTGTAACCCCTTCTAGATTCTTCTCTCTTGTGGTCATAAAAAAGAACAAAATGCAAAGACACCATATAAACACTCACATTAAGAGGTTGTTTTGGTAACAACTTTCCTAACCCAGAGTAGCCTGGAGATAAATTGTTAAATTACATATCTGCAGAGACTTTCAAGCCTTTGTTTCTTTGAGAAGTAGGTTCATTTCAAGATGTTTCATTCAGCTTTAGGATTTATCTTCTCCTCTGAGCATTTTAACACATTTGTAAAAGACAGAGCCACATTAAAACATGCTATACCACTGTTTCCTGGCACTCACATTCCTTAAGAGCACTCTGCTCCATAGAGGGAAATGCCCAGAACTGCTGGTCTCGATCTGACCGTCGTCTTTTCTTCATTGGTTCTTTAAATAGATCACTGTCGACTAGAAATAGATAGAGATTATATAAAATTATATATAAAATTATAAAAATTATAAGCACAGTATCTGTGCCTCACCTCTGTCAATGTACAAACTCAGAGGGCCTAAGAGGACCCTGGCCAGCTCCATCTGCCCATAAGCTCATTTGGAAAACAACCCTGCCATTCCAGTTTCATTGCTACTTCTCAGGGTCACGGGACTTTTTGCACTTGGTTCCAAAATGTACAGTCCAACCTATCCTTCCAGATTAAAGTTTCTACTTGCAAGTCCTCAGAAGCCAAAGTAGCAGAACTTTCTTCACCAAATACCAAGTGTTAGGAAATCAGCCAACTGTGAAGAGAAAATTCCAGGGCAGAGCTAAGTGTGGGGAGAACATAGGATTTTTTAAATGAAGAAAGATATGTACCAGGAGTATAACAGAGTAAAGAACGTAACCAGGGCAAACAACTTCTTCTCCTGTGTGTGTGTGTGTGTGTGTGTGTGTGTGTGTGTAATACATATATATATATATGTATAACATATATATAAGTTTTAGAGGATACCTTATAAAATGGATCCTTTCAAATATTATATGGGGGGGATTTCCCCTTCTTTGCTCAGAGACATTAGCAGTTGCTTCCTTACATAAGCAAGACTAGAAATCACAAGAACCAGATCTTTGTAGTTCCGTAGAGAATTCAATCACTTAAGTGGTTTCCCTTGGTTGTGAAATGAAAGGGTACAACCCAGAAGCTGCATTTTGAACGGGGCTTAGGAAACACCCTTTGCTGGTGTTCACCTGGCTAGAAAGGAGCAACAGCAGGGTCCTCGGGTCCTCGGGGTAAAGGTTATTGGAAATGTTCTTAACCCAGTGCTTTTGGGGCTGCTTGTGCCTTACAAAATGGCTGTGGGGTGAACTGGAAGATCTGGTCCCCATGAGCCATACACTCTAAGCTCAAATAAAGAAGGCATGGGACTCTAAAATTGAGTGTGACCCAAGAACAGGGAATACAGGGTGGCAGTCCGAGAAAAAAGGCCTAGGCTCTGCCACTGTGCTCCAGATGTGGGTCTCCCAGATAACTTGGGAAGTCATCTTCCTCTGCTCAGTCTTGCATCTTCCAACGCAAATTCTGCTGCATTCTGGATCTATTTCACCTCCCACAGAGGATTCTAGTTTACAGAGCCATATAACTGTCAAAGTCTGAACCTCTGCCACCTTGTGCTCATGTACTGACAGTTGAAAGAACATGTACTTAAGACCCTTCTACCTCAGGAAATGATTGAGCTCAACTGGAAGAATCCATTCTGGCTCAGGATCAGGACTGCATTAGAACTAAATACCAAGTGGTTTCTGGCTCAGTGGTTGGAGCTGGACAGGAAGAGGCAGAGGATAAAGAGCATGCTACTCAGGCACCTGGGCCAGCTACAGACTGAACACTCTAGCCCATGTTCCAAAGAGCATTTCGGGATGCCAGGATGTCTCTATTACCTGACTGTGGAAGGAATGCAAAAGGATGTCCATTTTGTAACTCACAAACTCTCTTTTTTTTTGTAAACAATGTTTTCATAGTTCCTTACCCATCTGTATAAAACAAGGGACAAACCCCAATATAAAGGGCCCTTATTTGAGCTTTGTAAGGACTGGCAATTAATCTGATAAGAGATTGGGAGCTTACTTCTCAACTAAAGCAAAGGGTAAGAATTCAGATACAAAGGAGGGTTTAAAATTCTGTCTTCAATTTCCAAAATGAAAAACCACCTGGAATGTAGAAAACATTCCATCTCAGACTTATACTATATATGAGTATACTAAATTGTAACTGGCAGGAACTGGCCTGAACTTGTTTTGTATCTCTTATTATTCCCTTTAATTGCTCAGATACCCATTTGCCTTTTTCAGCATTCTACACTGAAGAGAATTTCTTTAAAAACAGCAGTAGGGGTGAGTACAGGCAGGACAAAAAAAAAAAAAAAAAAAAGTCTACCACTGCTGTTGCTTTTTACTGCCACAAGGTGTCACTTCTGAAAACTGAGCCCCAACAATCTGATCAGAGATGTGGATTCAATCAAGGTTGATTCAAACATTGCCAGAGACCACCATGGATCTACCACACAAAAGATCCCACTTCTTGGCAGTAGGTTCAACCAAGGGATCCCCAAAGTCGCAGCTCTTTCCACTTGTGTGTATAGTCATGTTTCAGGTGCTAGCCACTATCCCTCTGACCTGGAAACACTGCTTCCCTTTCCCCTAAAGGAATTCTTCCCATGGAAGTGAGGAAGATTTTCCTCCTTAATTCTCGAAACACAAAGGATGTCATGTGTTCCCATTTTCTGCACATGGGGGTTACTGAGTTGCCTTCCTAGAAAGGCTCTTTCTTTGGCCCTCAGGAGCCAAGGAGAAAGGTCACCTCCATTGACTCCAAAGTGATTCATCCTTCAAAGGAGAAACTCCAATAGAACTACATTTCCCCTTCTAAGGAAAGCCACCTGACACTATTCCAAGGACTTTATCTGTCCCATCAGACTTCAGAGAGTCCAAGTGGATTTTCTGGATCATTCATTTTTAAAAAGACAGGAAAACTCACATATTTGTTAGTCAAACAGCTCACTTCATTATGAATAACTATTTTAATTATTGCTGAAACAGTTGATATGCATTTACTAGTAAAACTTGTCCAGAGAAAGCCGCATCTGACTAAGGAGTAAGGAATGATGACTATGGTTATAGTCTCAGCCACTTGCCTTTGACCAGATAACAGTCATCAGTTCCTATTTTTAGGTCAGGGGAGAGCATCACAAGATGTTACCTGAATATGGCTCCAGACCCACCAAATCCTCTGTTTCTGCCATTTTCTGTTTCCTTGTCCACTTACGAGAACCAGCCTGAAAAGACATACATAGAACAAAGGGGAAAAACAGCAAACATTAAAAGTAAAAAAAAGCAAAAACTAAGACTGCATGAATCTGCTCATGCTTTGTTTGCCCTTCTTGATTCCAATCTCCTAAGCACAAAGAGCAGCACAGGGTACTGTACTGGGGATTAAACCCAGGGCCTGTCACTTAAATGTGACAAGAGCAATATGTAATTATTAGTCCTCTATCAAACTTTACCTATGGAAGTTTAAAGGGATAATACCTGAGATCTTTAAGATAACTCACTCTGAAATAAGAATAAAGGTCTGATGGCCAGAGCTATGGTCAAGTTACACCACTTTGGGCAATGTCAGTGTCCCAGTCAGGTGAGCCCTGAACCCGATGCCAGTGGTATTTAGCCCCAGCAAGTCTTAGAACCTGGGAGGTGGTTGGAACTTTCAATATTTCTAGTTTGAAGTTTCTTTACTGCCTACTGAGTGGGGAAGGAGAGATACAGTAACTAGATTTTCTGGACCTTCTCACACTCCATCTCACTTTAATAGGAAACCCTACTGGGAGCTACAAACACCCTGAAACTTTAGGCATCTGCAGAAGGGGAGGAGGAGTACATCCAAAGGAAGTGTCAAAGCCAGTCTATGTTCAGTCCACCAGCAGACAGAGCATAGGCAAAGAGGGAGATCCAGAGCCCCACCGAGGCTCAGAATAGAGGACACTGCAGATTCTGTGTGGATACATTATCCTGGAGCTTCTTCATCTTCACCACAGAGGAAAATGTGGGGAACAAAAGTGGGAGCCCCCCAGAGCTTACTCCCTATCTCTCCTGTTTCTGTTGCAGGCACTCAACTGTGCATTTCAAATACAGTCACAGCCCCCTGGTTATGTCAACCTCCAGTAGTCCCATAGACCATTAGTGAGGGAGACTGAGCCTCATTTACACATTCACCCCAAGTTAAAATCACAAGTTATCAGTCTCTTATTCTGAGTTTGGTTTGTACATTTGAACTGACTAAATAGCTCCTGTGATTGGTGGGTATTGGTTGGAAACCCTGATTACATACAAGGTCTGGAGACTGAGGTTATAGTTTTTAACCTCACCATTCCCTCTCCTGAAGCCCACTCTCATGCCAACCCATGCCTATTAGAGTTCTCTAGGACAGGGTATTCTGCTGAGCTTCCCTGCATCTTAGCACATGTGGGGTACCCTTTTCTGTTCTTCCAGGTGAATTCCTACTCTGTCTTCAAGCCCCTGTTTTGGCATTTCCTCTATGATTTAGTAACCGGATTCCTGACCATTCCTCTCTGGGGTCCCCACTGCTGCATGCACACACTAAGAGTAAGAGGCTGTTTCAACTGTTATAATACTGATTGTGCTTTCTTTTTTTCTGGTGGTACTGGGGTTTGAATTCAGGGCCTCACGCTTGTTAGGCAGGTGCTCTTATACTTGAGCCACTCCGCAAGTACCCAGCACCATGCTTTCTTTATGTCTCCTCCTCCTTATTGAACCATGAGCTATTCAAGGTCAGGAAACTGCATTTTTCCAAAATTGCATTTCTGTTAAGATGTAAAATAACTGACAATAAATGTTTACTGAATGAATAAGTGAGTGAATGAAATAATGAAGTGGAAGTTTTTGATGAAATTCCACACCAAAGGATGTTTGAAAACCACATCAGGGCTAGGTTTAGTGGTGGAATCTGGTCACCCCAGCACTTGGGAAACTGAAGGAGGAGGATTATGAGTTCAAGCCTAACTCATGCTGTACAGCAAGACCCTGTCTCAAAAAACAAAACCCAAATTAGTTGTTATATGATTAGATTTTCTGCCTTAAAGAGTAAAGCAAACAGTAGGAACAAATAAGCAAGCATATAAACAGAGCAGTATTAGCAGTGAGGACTACTCTGAAGAACCGGGACTGCCTGACCTGAGGGAGGGAATACACTGGCATAGCCAGAGAATGGGGTGGGCTTCGAACACACAGAGCCACATACAGAAGACAGATGATATAGATTTCTATGGCCCCAAGAGGGCAGAACTAGACGTACTAGGTGAAGAATATAAGAAAGTATTTTGGCTTAACATTCTTGAGTACAGTAGTATACCTTATCCATGGTTTCACTTCCTTCCTTTTTTTGTGGTGCTAGGGATTGAACTCAGGGCTTCATGTTTAATAGGTACTCTACCACCTGAGCCATGATGCCAGCCCCATGGTTTCATTTTTCATGGTTGCAATTAGCCACAGTCAACTGTGGCGCAAAAGTATTAACTGGAAAAATTCCAGAAATAAGCAATTCGTGAGTTTTAAGTTTCCTACCATTCTGAATAATATGGTAAGATCTCATCCCATCCAGCTCTGTCCTGCCTAGGACACAAATCGTCCTTTTGACCCATTAGTCACTTAATCCTCTTAGTTATCAAATCAATGACTGTGGTATTCACATTGCAATATTTGTGTTCAAGTAACCCCTGTTTTAATTAATAATGGTCCCAAACTGCAAGGGAAAGCCAGGTGTGGTGGTAATCCTATCACTCAGGAGACCAAGGCATAAGGATCATGAGTTTGAGGCCAGCCTGGGCTTCATAGCCACTTCAAGGCCAGTCTAAGTTACTTAGCAAGACTTTGTCTCATAAAAAACAAACCAAATAAACAACAACAAAAAACAAAGTACAAAGGTAATAATGCTGGCAATTCAGATAGGCCAAAAAGAAAAGAATGCTTATTTTAAGTGAAAAGTACAATAAGACATTTTGAGAAAGACTACATTCACATAAATTTTATCACAGTGTGTTATTACAAGTGTTCAATCTTATTAGTAGTAGTCATTGTTAATCTCTTACTGTGCCTAATTTATAAGTTAAACTTTATCATAGGTATGAATAAGTACAAAAAATATAGTATATGTCAGGTTCTGAGCTATTTGTGGTTTCAGGCATCCAGTGGGGATCTTGGAATGAATTCCCCAAGGCTATAGGGAACAACTGTAGTTAAAGTTGCCTTAAAAAGTAATGTGTTTTCTGCCAGTAGAAGAGCCTGGGCATACGCTGTATGACCATCTGGTAACAGCATTGGACTGGACGAATCTCAAGGTTTTGTTAAACCCCAAGATTCCATGTTCTTACCAGAAGGGTTCACCACAGCTGGTAGTGGAGGCACTCTATGAGGTCAATAAATTTCATGACACACAGTAATTTTTGGTTTGAAATGCTCTGTTGGAAATGCTAAACCATATCAAAACCTAGGTGAATAAAGAGAAAAAAAGGGTAGATGAGCTATTGCACTGCAAGTACACAGTAATGTCTGTCAGTAACTTTAGATACAGAATGAGAAATAGAGAAATCTGTTCTTTTCTGAAGACAACAGCTCAATGAGCCATTGTCAACAAAATGTTAGGTATTACACCATCACAGTGGACACTGGAGACAAAAGAAACAAATAGTCCTACCGGTGGGCAAAATTCTGTAGACATCCAGGACAACTGTGTTCTGGAGCTCAAATTCCAGGAAGAAATAGGGGAGCCGGATAAATCCCAAAAGGACTAATTGACCAAGTTGATAAGCATGACCACTACACAGATGCTGAAATTAAGGCCCTTCCATCTGAGAGGGCTGTGGATCAAAGTGCATTAAAAGATATTGACAGTTGAGAGGAGAAGCAGATGTGTTCAGTGAATTCTGGAATGTGGGTAGTGGTTTTGGATTCTTTCAGGGTTAAAGTTCTTCTAACTGCATTTACTAAACCAACAGTATATAATGGCTAGCAAAAATTGTTGGCATGTAACTATCTGGGCTTGGACTCAGTTTAGTTTTATCCAGTAGAGACACCAAACCAGGAGTATCCTGCTGTAACAGCATCCACAGTACTATACTCAAGTAATTTCTGACTTCTAATTGAAATCTGGAGAAAATGGGAATTATTTGAGATGTGGTTGAAGAGAATTGGGTTTCAAATTTCTTCTGCAATGTTCAAAGGCTGGCAAGAAAGGATCATTTGATTGACAAACTAAGACACTGAAAAATGGAACAGGATCATTTACCAAAATGGTAAGGAGGTAGAGAGAGATAAACACCAAGCACTTAAAAAGGAAGACCTATAAACAAACAGGGTGGTGGTATGGTAGAGATGCTTAGTATGCAGTGATTGGTCTGAAGTGAACAGAAGGTTCCACTTCTGGTTCTGCCACCAACCAAAAGGTCTTCAGACAACTATTTTTTTTACTTTGGCCCTTGAGTTTTCTATCTATAAATGAAAGATTAAATTAGTCCTTAAAGAGTGAATGCTCTCTGATTTAAATGGGTGCTAAAAGGATGGAAAGGGTCTCATTTTGAAATGCCACTTGTCATCGAAACCAAGATACAAATGATTAGGGCCCCTGTTTAGTTAAAAGTAGCATACCTGGGAATACTCTAATGTCAAGTTCATTGTATTAAGGAGAAAGTGACCTACAGGTGCAGAGTTCTTCCTCAGATGATGGTGGAATCCATGTACCCCCAAAGGAGGCAGTAATGATAGGGTTTATTAGGAAATTTTAGTTTCTGTGGAGTAGCAATTGAAAACAGTCCAAACTTATTGCTCAGTCAGGCAAGGTTCTGCATGTGTGGTTATTTCGCTTATATTCCAACTATGTGGTTAGCTCTTAAGTTTTGCTTTTAGTGCTTATTTACATTTGTGTGCACCAAGCCCAAGAATAGCATCTTTTATGTGAGACTCTGCACACTTAGCTAGAGGTGAGAAGGTTGCACAGAACTGGTTTCCTGTTAAGTAATTGTGACTTTTGACAGTTATTCTTGCTTCTCTCACTCTTTCGTTAGTGTTTGCATATTTTCTTTTTTTTTTAGAAGAAAATAACAAGGGTAACACAAATGCAACTGTTATTCCTATATTAGAACAGCTTCATATAGTAGAATTAAAGAAAGAATGCTAAGGCTCCTTTTGCAGATAAGGACTCTGAAGCCCAGAGAGAAGGAACTTGTCAAGGTCATGTAGTACGGTAATGACAATGAGGACTCAAACTCAGGTTTTCTGACTGTGAGTTCCAAATTATTTTTCTTGCTCTAAGCACCTGTACCTGTACTTAAGATTTGTTTGTTGTACTTCAACAAATCTTTTGTTTCTTGGGTAGGGGAGAACAGAGGGAATAGTGCAAACAAATGAGGGTTCTTGCAAATACATGATATTGAGAATGAAGCCTGTTGAGTAGGAGGGAGCTAGAAACTCAGAAAAACTATACATAGGGACACAAACTGAAGATACTGCCTGAAAGCTCTAAGATGTCCTCAGAGTAAAATGAGAAAGAGAGAGAGAGAGAGAGAGAGAGAAAGATTGGGAACATGAATATATGAGGGCACTACAAGAGAATATTTCAGGACACTTCCACTGCATTTGTTCTGTGTTTGATGTGGAATTGAATGTGTTTATTACAAATGGCCTGTTCTTGGACCCTAGTTCTTCTCTAGTCAGAATTTCATCTCATCCTCCCTTGCCTCATATCATTAACCCTTCCCAACATTATTCTTATCTTCATATCTATCTCCTGTCCCCAAAGTGGCGCTAATAGAAAAAATTTTCATGCTCTAATTAGCAAAGTTTCTTTAAGGGGCATTTTGATTATTAATATTAGTTTATTCCTTACTTTTAACACATATATGGGAAATGCTTGGTACACAGCAAGCACAGAATAAATATTTCTTGAATAAATGAGGCCTATCTTTTAAATATGTCTTACAGGGCAAGATTAATAATCATAGGTATTATATTTATTTTATTCATTTATTCAACAAATATTTGTTGAGCGTCTACTATGTACCAGGCACTCTTACCAGTGTTGAGGATACAGCAGGAAGCAAAATGGAATCTACTATGCACACACACGGTAAATCCAGACTGTGAATGGTATGCAGAAGTTACTCAGGACTTGGAATCAGAAGGCTTGGATTTCATGCTCCAATGTAACACAAAACAAGCTACCTGATCTCTCTGAGTCTCCATTTCTCCACATATGGAATGGAGATGTTAAAAATACCTGTATTGGGAATGCTTTCTGATAATGCATGCAAAATTGCTCTGCAGGCACTTAAGAATGTGTACAAATGTTATTCCTAAAATATGTCATGAAGACAGCTAAACTAGGCATTAGTCCTAGTGTTCACTGGAACAAGGTCTATTTGGTTTGGGGGAGCAGATGCCACCTTAACTGACACATTGATTCCCATTCTTGTTCCCATTGACAACATGCTAAGCTATCTACCCTAGAGTCTTTGGTCAAATTTCATGCCCCTCCTACAAGGAGGTAGGCTAAAGAATAAAATAAGATTCTTAATAAAATGATGGACTGTTGATAAAATTTAGAACTTCCTTTCTTTTTAAGCTTTAGGTTTTGGTTTAAGCACCTTTGGTGTTGTCAGTATTTCCTAACCACCTGTTAGACACTGCACTGGTCTTCTAAACTAGTGATGTTCCAAAGAAGCAATTTAAACACAAGAGCTTATAAGCAAAAGGTGAAACAAAGGTCTTCAAACCTCTAAAAGAAAAGGTGTTTTTTTCAGCATTCACACATCAGCCAATGTGTGTAACATTACAAGAGTGGCCACCAAGGCAGTCATGGTAGAAAGGCACCACATACTTTTCTCTGACTTTTCTTCCTAGGTAAGAGGTAAGTAAATAAGCAGATACCTTTGTAATATGTTATCATATTCTAATAAAGTAAGTTTTTTATCTTTTCAAATTACTCTCCTAAGCTTGTCAAAGCTAATGAGGCATAAGATAACAATTTCTTCCTTATCAGGAATTCATATAACCCCAACAATGCTTGCACTAGTTGTTTTCTTTTGGGAGAAATAATTAATGATTTACCTAAAATCATATTATTAAATAAATCCAAACTAAAGCCTTATTGTCCCCATTTCTAATTCAATGGCTTTTACATAGTCTTAAAATTCACTCACACAAATAGAAAGGTAAATCTACTTTCTCTCAAGAAATCTTTTTGACTCCAATTTTTCCAAATTTTTAGAATTTGATTCCAAAAATTCCATATTTTCTCTCAAGAAAATTCACTTTCTCTCAATCTATGCAAAAGAGACAAACCTATTCAGAGAATTCCAAGTATTTACATAGGTACTCCACCTTCAAGGACCAGAAGCCCAACTCCCCACTGTTCAAGTGTGTGCCTTTGTATTGTGACTTCCTTCCAAAGAGAACAGGATGAAAATTAGGGGAAAAGTGTAACTTGAAGCTGGACCTAGTGGCACAAGCCTATAACCACTTGGGAAGCTACAGCAGGAAAATTGAGAGTTCGAGGCCAGGATGTATTACATAGGGGGTTCCAAGCCAGCCTTGACTATATAGCAAAACACTGTCACAAACAAAACAAGATAAAATGGCAAATTGACAAGCACTATTTCAGAAGGTGATCAAAGTCAATACCAATAATCATAAATCATGGTGATGGTATGCAGCCTCGATACAATACGATAAGAATGATTTTAGCTCTGTTAACTTCCTCTCCAAACCCATAAGTCCAGTCTAATCATGAGAAAAACATCAAGCATATGCCAATAGAGGAGATCCCTAAAAAATGCCTGACCAATACTCTCCCAGACTGTAAAGGTCACCAAAAATAAGGCCAGGATAAGAAAATGTTACAACCAAGAGCCCAAGGAGACATAACAGTAAATATAATGTGATATTCTGGGTGGAATCTTAGAATACGAAAATGATATTAGATACAAACTAAGAATCTGAATAAAGACTTCAGTTAACAATAATGGGTTGGTCCTTAATTGCAACAAGTGTACCACACTAATACAGAATGGAAACTAGGTGGATTATAAGAGAGTACTCTGAACTATTTTCTCAAGTTCTCTGTAACTCTAAAACTGTTCTAAAAATGAAGTCTATTTTATATAAATAAAACAAACCACAAATTATAGTATAAATTACATATGAGAAACAACTTACCAGAGGTCACTGAATTGGGAAAAAACTCAACACTTTTTTGCTTTGGTTTCAGGTGTCCAAAAAGGAGATGGTAGCAGCTTTCTGACTTGGTGCAAATACTTAGAGTGGGCTCTATAACTGGTTTTTAGACTTCAGTGGCCACCGTCACAAAGCAGAAGTGAAACTAACCTGTCATGGTGGTTAATTACTACCATCTCCTCCCTCAGATATTGACACATGCTAATTTCTCTTTTCATTTAAACTGCATGTGAACTGGGAATCACACACTCCAGCCTCTGTGCCTACTTCCTATAAGCAGGCAGGTCTTAGTTACTTTTCCTTCCAAACAGATGGCAGAGCCCTTTCTCTGAAGGTGAACGTGAACCAGATGGATCTGGCATACTTGAGCAGATCAGAAAAATGTCCCAATTACAAGAGAGATAAGGTGCTGGTTCTAGACCCTCAAATGTGAGACATGACTGAGAGAGATGAAGGATGAGATGGTAAATACAAACCAACACAACATCTGGAAACTCACCACAAATAAAATCCATCAAAATATACATTGGATTGATTATAGAAATAAGCAGCATTACAGCTGTAATTGAAACTTAAATTTTAGAACCTTATTTTTAAAAGCAAATATTCTTAAAGTATTTCCCAGCAGAGAAGAACAGAAAATAAAACCTGTTCCACTGTGCTGTGTCTGGCAGCCTAAACAATCAAACTGAGTACAGGAAAAAGCCTATTCTTTGAAACTTCTATTTCAGGCTGTGTGCCACTTTCTAAGGCCAACTTGGTCATTACCAGAATAACTCTCAGGTATGCTAGGTATGCATTTAATCTAATGTTCAGAAACAAAATCAAAATGTGGAAGGAACTGAAGATAAGTATTTAGAGTGTGGTCTTAAAAATTTGCTTTAAACTTTTGGCAAGATGATGTACCTCCCCCGTAAGAAAGCCACAGAAATACCAACGTTAAATTCAAAACAAAGAAAATCAACGTGAATACTGTCATTAGTATTGGATCTTCTACTGACTTCTCTGGGCAAAATCACCACTAGTATTTATATCACATGCACTTAGTACCCCCTCTACTGGAGGTTTTTTGTTTTCCTAATTGGAAGTGATACTAAATAATTTAATAAGTAAAATTAGTTTGGAGTGTTTTAAAAACTGCCTATTTTCCATGGCAGTACCTGACACTTGCTATTAGACACCTGAATGCTAGGTATGCTAGGCTCTCTACTAGGCTAAACTTCCACTGAACTCACTGAAAACCTTGACACAATTAAAAGACAACTTCCACTGCCACCATTATTCCCTACCCATGATCACTGCTCTGACCTCTAGCTTGTTAAGGAATGAACCATCCATATGCCCATCAAAAGTAAATCCCTTCTCTTCAGCACCAGATCCCGTTTCCCTCCACCTGGAAGACTAGGTAGAGCACTTCCTTCCTTTCTTTCTCTTTTTCTCTTTCTCTCTCTCTCTCTCTCAATATATCATAAACCTACTCCAGTCAAGCTGTTACCTTTACTAATACCCAAAAATGTTCTTGTCACAGTCCCCAGGGATCCTGGATCAATCCAACCACTATCTTTCTTGAGACATCAGCAGTATTTGATCCAGGAGTATTGACTCCATCCTCCTTGCCAAACTTTGGTTTGGGTGGTACTTGGATTTAAACTCAGGTCCTTGCACTTGCTAGCAGACATCCCACACCCCAACCCTTAAGCTTTGAAATTTTGAAACGGGGTCTCATGTTTACTCTGGGCCAGCCTAGACCATGACCCTCCTATTTATGCTTCCTGAAGAGCTGGGTGTTGGTTGAGATGCAGTCTCAGTGTTTGTCTGGGTTGACCTCAAACCTCAATCCTTCCAATCTCTGCCTCCCAAGTAGCTGGGTTTACATATGTGAGCTACCATGCCTGGATAACATACTTTTCTCACCTGGCCTCCAGGTACCCAGATTCTCCTAGTTTGCTTCCCACACCCATGGACACACCTCTTCAAGTTCCTTGTTGGTTATTCCTCTCATCTCCAACCTGTTAATAAGAGAACACCTTGAGGCCTCTGCTTTAGTCTCTTAAAAATTTACTGCTTCACAGCTTTGAACTTCACCCATACACCTGTAACTCTTGATTGGTACATCCATCCTCAGCCCCAATCTCTTTTGTTTCTTACTGCTTACTAAACATCTCAAATTAAATAGACCCAGCCTTCCCCCAAAATCCTCTAAATCCCAGTTCACCTACAGTATTATTTCAGCTAACAGTAACTACATTATTCCAGTTCCGTTACCCAAAAGCTTTGGCCTCACACTTGATGTTGATGTTTTTCTTCCATATTCCACCTCTGATGGAAGTCTTGTTGAAATCATCAAATATACTCAGAATCTGAACACCTCCCATCACTTTCACTGTTTACTACCCTGACTCCAGTTACAATAATCTCTTGCCTCATTCAGTAGCTCCCAAACTTTGCTGAACATTGGAGTCCCTCAAGGACTTAAAATATACATTATTGCCTGGTTCCTACCTTCATATTCTGATCTAATAGGTATGGGATAAGACTCAGGCACTACAATTTTTCACTGCTCACCAGATGACTCTAATGTGCACCAAAGATTGGGAATCAGTGGCAAGAGTATGGTAATAGCCACCTAAGTGATCCCCCTGCTTCTACCTCCTCCCTACACCCATCTATAATAGACATACTTTTGAGTCAGGTCATAGCATTTCTATGCTAACACTCCAATGGCTCCTGATCGCACTTAGAGTAAAAGTCCAAGGCTTTTCAACAGCCTACAAGGTCTTATTGTCCCTAATCTCCACCCCATTACTTCTCTAACTTCTGTTATACTTTGCCTTACTCACTGTTCTGCTGACACCTCCTTACTTGAATATTCAGGCATCCTCTCAACCTAGGACCTTTGCACTGACTGTTGCAGATGCCTGAAATACTCTCCGTTATTTACACAGTATTAGTTCAAATGTCACAATCTCATTAAGTACCACATTTACCCCTATTTAGAATTATAACAGTACTACCCACCAATCTTTGTTATGAAGTAAATGATAGTGCCTTTAGACGAGAAAGTATTGAAAGATCAGATTTGAAGGAAAAATAGATGTCTTATACACATTAAGCTTGAGATGCGTACTGAACACCCAAATCTAACAAGACTCAGGTAGGGGAGAAGTTGGAATTGGACTATAAACCTGGGAAGAGAGAGAGATGGTATTTTAAACCATGGTACTCTGGGGATCACTTTGGAAGAAACAAAGACCCCTTAAAGAACAACACTATTTTGAGATGAGTCAGAGTCCACGGGACTGAATATGAGAAGAAAATCCAGAGTGGAGGGCCTTATCATAAAATATTTTCAAACAGGATAATTACGTTCATTGGTAGTAGGATGACAGTAAAACAAATAAGCATCACTCAATTTGACAAGCTGGGAAGTGACAAAGCTTGACCAGAAGGTGTGAATGTGGTAGCAGAGTTGAGCTACCTCAACCTTGTGGGAAGTAACTGGAGACAGCACATATTACCCGTCTTTATTAATGTGAACTAGTCTTAATCCCTGTTCCGCAAACAAGAAGACCAAGTCCCGTCTCCAAATTCTGCAAAATTCTGTGCATGTTTTTTCTGCAGACATCCAGTTTCCATGATGGTGATCAACGAATTATGTGCCATTCGTCTGCGACTAAGGTGACCAACTGGCCCAAATCCTGCACGTCAATCACTTCATTTCTGCCTGGTCTCTTCCAGGCTCAGAACTGAGTCTCTACTTCACAAGAGGGTTCACGCTCCCGCCCAACCCCGCCGGATGTGACGCACTCGTCCCCTTCGCCCTCGTTCAGGGACCACCCACCCCTTCGTTCTCACGACTTCCTGGAGCAGCCTCTCTACAGAAGCCTTGCCCCATTCCTACGCCGCTGAGAAAGCTAGAGCCTTCTGGTCCCCAAGCTGCCTTTCGGTGCATCCCACTGCTCTTGGACTCCTGCAAGACCGCAACCGCCGAGCCATCTCACGCCTGGGTCCGTCTGGGAGCTGCCTCCGGGTGGGCGGGGCGGAGCTTCGCGCGCGCGCCGTCTTCTGGGAAGAGCTTTACAACAGTGGACGTCATTTTACGACAGGCTGAGGTTGCTTTGTGGCTGCTAACTTTCTCCGCGGTCTGAGCTGCATTGTAGTGCATCTGCTACGACGGCGCAGCCATGAGGCAGAAGAGGAAAGGTGCAAAAAGGGAGGGTGAGGGGAAAAGGGGGGTGGTCGCCCCCGGCGGTCAGATCCTGAACCCCACTTTCCCCGCCGGAATCTGCTGCCCGATCTAGCCGCCCCACCAGCTGGGGTCGGTCAGCTTGTCACTTCCAGCCCCCTGCCTTCTTGTTTTACCCATTCTGCTTTTAAAACCAACCTATCCTCACTTTCCTAGTTGTTGGCAGTCACTTGGTGTCTTTTGCATAAATGGCAGGGTAAGTTTTACTCCAAGGTATGCTCTCCGAGGAGTTCACGTGGTTGGTGAAATTAACGCCTTCTTCCTCTCCTACATTGTTAAAATTTATTTTACCACACGTTTGACATGTTAAGATTTTCTTTTGAAACCTTAAATTAAAATGTGAAAAGCCATGGATTATCCTTGGAATCTGTGAATAGTTAGGCATGAATTTACTCTCACCTGAGTTATCATGGAGCAGTTCTGTTCTTAGTTTTTCAACAGAATGGACTCAAATTTTAAATATTCTTTCATAGTTCCTGTTATTATCTCTGCACCTTCACTTGAGTAGTTGCTTTTTATAATAGCTGCTATTTATTGAGCCTTTACTAATCATTTTGATATTATCATCTCCATTTTACAAACGAATACACTGAAATTCAGAGTTGAGTAAATTTTCCAGCCTAAAATTAAATTTAGAAGATGTGGAGTTGGCTGGTCAGACTGCATCTGTGACCCCCCAAAACATAAAACGAAAAGTAAATGTTTCTCTCGTCGCTATGCCTCTTGGCATTAACTGCTAGTTCTCTTCCTACCAAGCAGTAAGTCCAAGGACCAAGGGTCACCTTCTATCATTTTGTCACATCAAACTCTGCATGTTCCAGATTAGTGTATTGTTACTCTTAACTCCTGCTCTGTTAGCTGGTTCTGACAGTTTTACTTTTAGCTCTGTTCTTACTTAGAAATCAACTCTCCATTCCCCACGTGGTCCTAATCCACCTTCATCAAAATAAGAGTTGAATAGTACATTGGCTTTCACAGACATTTCACTTGACTCTTACCTTGGTCTTGTGAGGTTTGTGTGTATCACAATCAGTAGAAATTGGGTCTGGAACCTGTTATAAGGGTGTTTGTTTGTTTGTTTTAGGTCTTGTGGGTTTTTAACAATGTTGTCAATACAGCCATTTGCTTAGCCTCTAGGTCAAAAGAATCCTTTGTAGTTTCTGAATCATTCTTTAAGCCGATAGGCTCACTTTTAAATACTACTTTCACTTTTTATTTCTAAAGTTGAGACAATATAATTCTCTCCTGCATTCCTTTTGAATGCCGTAGCCTAGTGGCCAGTGTACTCTGTACACTCTGTTTATTGAGCCCTGCCTGGTGGTCTATATTCTAGTTAGGCAGAGCCCCTTCACATCAAGCTCTTATGCCTAATGTTCTTCCATCCAGATTGCTTTCTGGTCCAAATCATACACTTTCTTTAAAGATCTCTGTGTCATTTTCTCCATGAGGCCTGATATTACTGATTTACTCCTCCATTTAATACAAGTGCTTTCATATATCTTTTTGTCAGTCCAACCTCCTTTTACCCTCCAAATAAAGTCTGATGCAGAACCTCAGCACATAAACAGATGAAAGCAGAGCAGCTGTGTTTGTAAGAGAGAGAGACAGATTGAGACATTCCTCCTTCTCTGCCCCTTCTGCCACCTCTACCAGTCTAGAACTCTGAAGTGCTGGGTTACATGTTTTGGAAGCATTTAGCCTTTGATTACAAGTAGACTTTTCTCTCACTTTGTACTATGTGTGTTAACCTCATTAAATCAGAGGCAGTATGGTACAGTGTTAAAAGAATGGAAGTTATGGTGAAAAGACCTGGATTTGAGTCTTAATTTACATCTTTTTGGGGGGGTGTTGGGGCTGGACTTTGAACTCAGGGCTTCATGCTTGCAAAGCAGTTGCTCTAAAACTTGGGCCACACCTCCAGTCCATTTTGCTCTTGTTATTTTGGAGATGAGGGGGGGTCTCATGAACTTTTTGCATGGGCTGACCTCAGACTGCCATCCTCTTGATCTCAGCCTCCCAAGTAGCTAGGATTACAGGCATGAGCCACTGGTGCCCTGCAATTTGTGCTATTTACAGAGGTATCTTAACTTACCTTAGCTTCATTATATGTCTGTAACATGGGATAACAGTACCTGTCTTTACAGTGTTATTGTGAGGTTTCAAATAGGACAAAAGTAAATGAAAAGGCTCCACAACAGCTAGGACATTCTCATCCATACTTCTGGGTGATGACTTCCTGCAGTATTTTTACATACCAGCTTTCTCTGCTTGCTGACAGCCCCTAAGCTGCTACCCCACAGCTGTTGTCACTGGAAAAAGACTGGTTTTTTTTTTTTTTTTTGCCTTGAGGAAAAGAGGTCAGATTGGCCTGGCTTAGATAGAAGCCCATCCTTGATCAAGTCACTTGTGATGGAGGAGATAGGATTGCATAAGTGTACATTAGAATCTGCTATGCTTTTGGAAGAGAAAGGGAGATCCTGTTGCCAGGAGAAGGTCATGATGGTAACACAGTGTCTTAGAAATGCATGGAGATCCTTAAAATGGCCAGGCATGGTGGTTCATTCACACTTGTAATCCCAGCACTCAGGTGGAGGCAGGAGGGTCTGTAGCCCAGGTTGGGCTACATAGTGAGTTCCAGTCCAGCCTGAGCTATTTAATGAGACCCTGTTTAAAAAAAAAAAAACAACCAAGGTCTGGAGATGTAGCTCAGTGGTAGAGTGCTTACCTAACATGGACAAAGCTGTGGGTTCAATCCTCAGCATCACCGAAAACCAAAAATCCTTAGTGTAAAACCCATGGTCCTGCTTTGCAGTAATACTACATAGGCAAGTACTGGGTTTGAGTTTCAGCTTCAGCCCTGGTGTCATCCCTGTGGGACAGACAAATGTTCCTGTTCTGTTTGCCTAACTCTGTACTGAGAATCCATTGAATTAATGCATCTAAATGTTCTCTGTGAACTTAAACTACACAGCTCCTTAGTAATTACTAATCTGGAGATAAAGACAAGGTATTTAATTGGTAATTTCCTGTGTAAGTAGTTTATTTCTACCTTGTGTTCATTTTTGTAGTATTCTTTCCTGTATCTGTCTGTAGTATTCTCAGTGTCCTATTGTTCTAAAGGGACTTTTTTCCTACATACAGATAGAGCCAGGTTTGACATTAAAGATATAAAAGGTATGGTCAAATTGTAGACAAGATATTTAGTTTTTCTGAGCTATAGCAACTCATTTAGCACATTTGGAGTGATTTTGGAAAGAAAATTGCTACTAAGTAAGATTATTAAATCCTTACTGAATAATGTGATTTTTACTATTGTTTCATACCTCTTCAGATTTCAGTTCTACTGATTTTTCATTGTTGGATATTATATTTCCAGGGGATCTCAGCCCTGCTGAGCTGATGATGCTGACTATAGGAGATGTTATTAAACAACTTATCGAAGCCCATGAACAGGGGAAAGACATCGACTTAAATAAGTAAGTAGATCTCTAAAGAGAGAGTAGTCTTGTTCTTAGGTAGTAGCTCTTTTATGAAGTGGTCTAATACCACTTGTTTTCTATTTCATGTTTTGTTTTTTAGTTGAGAATTAGAGCTTTCTGCCTTGCCCTGTCACTTGTTTCACTCTGGCACAGTTGTCTCATAGCCTGATAATACTAACAGCTTCTAATGTTTATTGGGCATTTAACATATTCCAGTCACTGTTTTAGTGCATTGTGTGTAATAACTCAAGTCAGTGCTCTCAAAAACTGTGTGTGGTAGATACTGGTGTCACCCTCATTTGACAGATAGGTAATCTGAGGATATGAAAAGGCTAAATAATTTGTCCAGGGGTAAGTAACTAGTAATTGGCCAAGTTGAGATTTAGAATTAGGTCATCTGTCTCCAGAGCCTATATTCTTTTGTGGTACATCACTTCACATCCGACCACTTTCCTACTGCCTCAGTGGAAGCAGCAGCTGTCTGCCAAGAACAATCTAATCAAATCCTTCTCTACTTTAGAACTCTTGGACACATTCATCTACGTCTCTGTAATCATGCTTGGTCTTTGGTACACCCTCAAATGAAAGTGGTCTTTCATCTCTGCATCTTAATTATTTGAACGGTGTATTCACTCTCTATGTATTTGATCTATATGTAAATTGTCCCTTTAATAAAAAGAAGGGTTTTGCCCTAACCTCAGGTCATCTAATCACCACATAGATCACCTTTTCACAGATCCTACTTTTACTTGGGATACTGTGATATTTGACTCTTTCCCTGAAATATCATGCTTAAAAAAACATTTGCTAAAGGAATAAGTAAATAATTGCCACCTTTTGACTATGGAGACATTATGTTTTATATCTTTAACAGTTTTTCTAATGAATATTTGTAGTTATATATTTTTGTTCTCTTAATCTAGCATATCTAAAGCTAAAGCTGCCATCTTCCTTAAAACCTACCCCCTACTCAAATGTCCCCAGCCCATTATGTAAGGCCTCTCAGTCTGGCTTTAGCTTGCTTTTCCAACTCTTTAAACCTCGGTACTTTTACATTGAAAGTCTCCAGCTTTCTGTCAAATATGTGCCTCCTGCATGTACATCTACACAGAAGCCAGCCTGTCTTCTCATTGTGTCATCTGTGTGTCTGCACTGCCTGTCGGAAGCCTGCTCTTTCTCTGGGCCATTTTCCCTCCCTAACTCCCCAATACACAACAAAGTCCTGTTACATTCTGGAAGCGTTCATTGTTGGTTGGTGGTGTTAGGTGTGTTTTATCACTACACAGAACATGGAAGGACTATGCCTTATACTTGATATACCAAGTACTTAGGTGGTGTTTCATACATCCATTTACTTCGTTAACATTTGTTGAAAATTATGTGACCACCTCACAGATATTTCTAAATGGATTAATTAGAAGACAGGATGATTGTTAAGGTTTGGTTATCAAGCACAAGGAAAAGAAAGCTGGTAAAATTAGAAAATCAAAAGAATAAACCAGTCATGGTGGCACATGCAGACAAACCCAGCACTTCAGGACTGAGACAGGTAGATTAGGAGTTTGAGGCCAGCCTGGGCTACATAGCATAACACTGCCTCAACCAAAAAAAGGGGAGCAAATCAAAGGAATTATTAGTGAGGGTGAAGGTTACTTGTGAGGATTAGAAATAGGGTATAATCAGAAAGAGATATATGGAAGTAGTTGCTTTATGATTATTTGTTAAAGCATGTTTATATGTTTTCTGTGCTTTCTTTATGTACATTGTGTTCTGTCTAAGAAAGTGGTTCTTAACCAGGGTTCTTTTCTCCCGAGGAGAAATGTCTAGAGACCGTTTTGATCTTTGCAACAGGAAGAGATGCAAGTAGATAGAGGCCAAGGATGCTGCTATAGAGAGCACTAGACAACCTCTGTCTGGCTCCAGACATCAGCACTGAGGCTGAGAAGAGGTGGAGTCACAGTAGTCCTTTGGGATAGAAGCTGGAGCACTGGTTTCAACTAGGCCCACATTGCGTCATCGTCCCAAGCCACTCCTCCATAGTCCTCTGGGTTTCTTTCTAGTACTTGAGGGTGAGAAGAACAAGTCATTTTCTAACAAATTTTGTTCTTCTATTTCCTTGATATTCACAGATCGTAAGGCCACTTTTGTCCCTCGGTGAAAGAGGGGTAAGGAGTGACAGTAGCCGATGATATTTTGTAGCTTGTGCTTGAAACATTCTGATCTTGGTAATGCTAGATGCTTTACTTTCAGGTTGAAAACTAAGACAGCTGCCAAACACGGCCTTTCAGCACAGCCCCGCCTGGTGGATATCATCGCCGCTGTCCCTCCTCAGTATCGAAAGATCTTGGTCCCCAAGTTAAAGGCAAAACCCATCAGGACTGCCAGTGGGGTGAGCAATTCAACTACTGAAATACAGATACAGTAGTGAGGTGGAGGTGGGGATTCAGACTGATTTTTAAAGTCATCTATTTTGTGCTGGAATAGACACACAGAATGGTGGGGGGACAAAGAGAGGAAACCAATTGGCTGTGTTTAAAGGAGTAAATGATGTTTTGGTGTCTTTAAAAATAAAGATTAAGGCCTAGTGACTATCACAATGTGATAAATATTGGTCCTCATGAGCTAATAGCTTTTAATATAATTGGTACTTATAAAAAGTACTTTTAAAGGATAATTAATGGTATAAAGTAGTTCTTTGTGTGGTAATTGTGAAATGGTTGATACAATGATGAGCACTGTGGGTGTCCAGAGGATAGGGATGTCCCTGCAGCCAAAGGAACTTGGCTGCAGTCCCAGTAGAAAGCATGGTGCTTACTCAAATGCATAGGGAGTGGGGAGAGGCTCTAAGGGCAAGGGGACCTGTGGCACAGAAGTAAGAGTGACACAAAGGTATGGTATGCACAGGGAGAGTGAGTACACCAGACTGACAGGAGCTGAGCATTCATTTGGCTTTTTTTTTCTTTCTTTCTTTCTTTCTTTCTTTCTTTCTTTCTTTCTTTCTTTCTTTCTTTCTTTCTTTCTTTGTATGTATGGCTGGGTCTCACTATGAAGTCCAGCTCAGGCTTGTCTGGAATTCACACTCCTCCTGCCTTAGTCTCCTTAGTTTGGGATCAACTTGTAAAAGGTCTTCAATGTCCACCAAAGAAACCAAATAATAGGGAACTTTTAAAGGTTTCTGAGAAGTGAAGTTATGTGAACATAGTAGATTTTCAGAATTTTAATCGGATCCAGCATGCAGGGTAGTTTGGAAACAGAAAGACCACTCGGTTTGGACCCTGTTGATCTACTCTCCGGGTGAAGCATAACAGTCTGAACTAGGGTAGAGGCTCTAGGAGAAAAAGGCTGAGTATGAGAGACCAAGAGGAACATTGGCAGGCTCAGGCCCTCTTGAAATGCGGTCCCCAGAGTTGAATTCTGTGTTCCTGGTATGATCTCAGACATACAGTCTGTTGTGTGGATCAGAATGTTACATTTCTAGCAGCTTGCATTGACTTTTTTGGTGGGTTCGTGACAGTTGTGGATAATTAAACCCCACAAGTTTTATATACAATGTACCACTAAGTCTGGTGTCCTGTTCTTTGCACTTAAGTATTTTGGTTTGATTTGTTTGTAAGGAAAAGTTGGGTGTGTCTGTTCATCATTGTGGTGTCAGGTACCATCTTCTCCCCTCCCTTCTCTACCTTGCGTAGAGATTTCTTTAGCTTGTACTGCCACATCCCTAAATAAAGAACACCAGTATAACAATCAGAACTAACCTCAAAGTTGCTCATTCATCTTTCCTGTCCAGTGGTGCTACCATCCACTCAGTTTCCAAAATGAGGAACGCATTCCCACCACTGAAAGGAATGTTTTAGCCTCAGTTGTTTCTTTTTTAGATTATTTTCAGTCATTTCCTAACTTTTCTACTTTGTCATATCTGCACCAAATCCATCTTCTACAGTGGTACCAGAATATTGGAAAAACTATTACTCCCTGTGGGCTACCATTCTTACCACCATGATTTATTCTTGCTGTCACTGTGATGGTGCTTTATCCATTTGTTTTTCAAAGAGCAGTTTTAGGTTTACAGAACAGTTGAGCAGAGAGAATGTGGTTCCCATATACTTCCTCCTTCTCCCCTGCCCTCAGTTTCCCTGTTATCAATACCTTGTGTTGGTTTGGCACTTTTGTTACAGTTGATGAACCAGTACTGCTACATAATTATTAACTGAAGCATATAGTTTGCACTGGGATTAACTCTTGTGTTGTACATTCTGTGGGTTTTACCAAATGCATAATGTCATTTGTCTTTTGTCATAGTGACATTCAAACTAATTTCACTCCCTTAAAACTCTTTATCCCTCCCTCCCAGTGATCTAGCCTAACCTCACAACCACTGTTCGACTTACTGCCTTTATAGTTTAGCCTTTTTTAGATGTTGTAACGTTGGAAGCATATGGGATGTAGTCTTTTTAGATTGGCTTTTTTCACTTAGCAATGTGCATTTAAGGTTCTTCCATGTCATTTCATGGCTTGATAGTTCATTACTTTTCATTAATAAATGACATACCATTGTAAGGGTGTGCCACTCTTTGTTTGCCCATTCACATGTTGAACGACATTTGGTTGCTTCCAGTTTTTGGTAATTACAAAGTTGCTGTAAACATTCATGTGAAGGGTTTTGTACACATACCATTTTCTGTTCATTTGAGTAAATGTCAAGGACTATGGTTATTAGAGTGTATGGCAAGAGTATGTTTATCTTTGTAAGTAACTGCTAAACTGCCTTCCTCCTGGAGGTGTGGCTCAAATGGTAGAGCATTTTCCCAGCATATAAGACCCTGAGATCAAACCCCAATACTGCCTATAAATAAGTAAAAAAATAAGCCATCTTGCAAAGTGACAGTACCATTTTGTATTCCTGCCAGCGGTGAAAGAGAGTTCTATTGCTCTGTCACCTCATCAGCATTTGATGGTGCCCTCATTTTCTGTTTAGCCATCTCATAGTTGTCTAGTGGTATCTCCTGGTAGTTTTAGTTTGCAATTCACTAATGACATGATATTGACCATCTTTATATGCTTATTTGCTAAATGGGTATTTTCTCTGGTGAAGTGTCCAGATCTTTTGACCTATTCTTAATTGGGTATTTGGATCTTAAGATAAAATCCTTTATCAGATATGTATGTACCTCCCAAACCCAGGTTTGTCTTTCATCCTCTTTATAGTTTGCTTATATTTTTTCTTTCAGTGCTCGGATTTGAACTCAGAGCCTCACGCTTGCTAGTCAAGTGCTCTTACTGCTTGAGTCACTCTACCAGCCCTTTTTTTGTGATGGGATTTTTCAAGATAGGCTCTCCAAAACTATTTACCTGTGCTGGCTTTGGACTGTGATCCTCCTGATCTCAGCCTCCTGAGTAACTAGGATTATAGGCGTGAGCCTCCGTCCCAGTTTTCATCATCTTAATAGTGTCTTTCTCAAAGCATAGCTTTTACATTTGAATGAAATCCAGTTTACTAGTTTTTTTTTTTCTTTCATGGATTGTACTTTTGGTATTATATCCAGAAACTTACTGTGAAACCAAATTGTGGTTTTAAAAATTAATTCTTTACGTTGTACTTAACTTATTGTAAAATGTGATATAATCATAAACACAACTTATATGTACATTTTAAAGATTATTAATATTGAAAAGCAGTCACCTTTGTACCCAGCTTAAGAAGTACAGTATTGCCAGTACCTTCTAGGCCCCTCTTGTGCCACTCTGGTTGCATTCCTCTCCTACCTTCTGAGGGATATCCACTCTCTAGGACTTGTATTAACCCCTCCATAACGTGTTTATTAATCTTTACAGATTGCTGTTGTGGCTGTGATGTGCAAGCCCCACAGATGTCCACATATCAGTTTCACCGGAAATATATGCGTGTAAGTATGATGATTTTGATAAGCTGTGTGTGTATTTTAATTGAACTAGTAAATTCCCTAATGCTTTGGTCAGTACATGCTGGTAATATTTAAGGCCTTGATTAACTAGAATTACAGGTTAGTTCTCTGAAACAAGCAGCCATTTGATTTTAATTTGTTGCAATATTTAAAAACACATAGGTTATAGAACTCAGCACTGGAGAGAATGTAACATGGAAATATGAGCTGCCTAAATTCCAGTGTCAGAAATTTCAAATGAATTCTGATCAGAAGTATGCCAAAATAGCTGAGCACTGGTGGCTCACATCTGTAATTCCAACTACTTGGGAGGCTGAGATTGGGAGGATCAGGATTCAAGGCCAGTGCAGGCAAATAGTGTGTGACCCCCATTTCTAAAATAACCAGAGCAAAATGGGCTGGAGGCATGGCTCAAGTAGTAGAACACTGCATTGTAAGCGTGAAGCCCTGAGTTCAAACCCCAGTCCCACCAAAAAAAAAAGTATCAGAATAAAAAGTGTTTCTTATAAATGGCTATTACACTCCTCAAATTTAGAAATTTGGTAGGATTAGCAGAAGCATGCATATGAAGATTAAATGGAAGGAGATTTTCTTGAGTATCATTACCAAGAAAGCACTGTATCAATGTGAACAGGAAAACTTCGTTCCTGTTATTTGTCCTTAAAAGGTTAAACCTCTAAAATAACAGTGATTGCAGAATTTTGAAAATGACTGTAATAGTGTTCCTTTACGTAGTTTTCTTGTTTACTTATTGGCAGAGAATACATTATTTGTAGATACTGCACCGGTAGACTGCTCAGTTAAGATTTGAAAATAAAACTTATTTGATAGCAGGACTTACGGACACTGGAGATACGTGAGCCACACTGTTGAGCTGAGTTTTGTATCTGACCTCACTGTTCTCTCATTGTATTGGCAGATACTGCCCTGGGGGACCGGATTCAGATTTCGAGTATTCAACCCAGTCTTACACTGGCTATGAGGTAAAGTGCTTTAAGGTTGGCCTGCTTGTGTTACATATTTTACCAAAAGTGTTGTTTTACAAGTACTAGTTTTCCTAGAACTTTAAATTTTACCTTGTTTCCTGCTTATAAAAGCTTTTCATTCACCAAATATTTGCTTGGTGTCTACTAATGCCATAGATTGTTCTAGTTACTGGAAAAATGCTTCTGTAAGTGCTTATTACTATTCTAATAGCCACTGTCCTAAGTGCTTTACAGCTCTAAGCCTTACAGCAGTGCTATGATTATCTGAGCTTTACAGGTGAGGAAACAGGCTCTCAAGGCTTAAACAACTGGTGCAGAGACCCTGCTAGTGTCTTGTACTCTGCTCCTCACCCCATCTTGTGCTGCCTCTTTAGCAGTGAAGAACTGACAAGGTTCCCGGTCTTGTGGAATTTACACTGTAGTGATAGAAGATAGACACTAAGGAAACAAATAAAAATGTCATAGAACTGTGATGATTGGGATTCTCTAGGGAGGTAATTAAAGCTGAGCCCTGATAGACAAGAAAGAACTAGTCCTAAGAATGCCAGGAAGGCACAGTCCTAGCAGAGTACAGCTGGAAGAAAGGGCCACAGTAGGAAAGACAGTGGGGTGTTTGTAGTGTCATGGGTAAGGGGGAGCATGAAGCTGGAGAGGCAGCTGAGGTGGGACTTTATAAGGCAGGTGAGGAGTCTTTATTCACTGTAGAGGTCAGGAGAAGCCATTAAGGTTTAAAGCAGAGGAATCATACAACCTATTTTGGTTTTTAAAAGACTGTTCTGATGACCATGTGGAAAGAGGACTAGAGTAAGGACAGGAGTGCAAAAGAGGCGTGGCTTTGGAAGAAGTCACTCTCCCCAAGAGCGTTCAGAAGTCAGCAAACCACGTGACTTTTTCTTCTTCTCACATATAGCTTTCACATTTTTCTTCCTGTTTTCCAGGGTTCAAATCTTAAAAAATACAAAAGGAATTACTCAGTGAAAAAGTTCCTCTCATTCTTATCCCCCAGCTGCCCTTTTCTGCTTTTCTCCACAGCAGTCAATCAGGGTTACCATTTCTTCTTCATCCTCCAAAGATATTTTCTGAGCATATAAATATATACATATATTTTCCTCTAATTTTTAAAATCACGGCTGTAGAGTATTCTACTCTGTGATAGTAAACCGTGTGCATTTAGGGACCTTGTTTAAAGATTATTTTGACACCTAACTCTTCTGAGTATGCGTGCGCATCTATGTAAATAAAACACTCGGTGACCTTGGGGATTCCAAAAGTGTTTACATAGAAGACAGATGTGACCTGAAGAGAGACCCTGCTGTTGAGGAAACTGTGACAATATGTGAGGACTGCCCAAATGCTAAACAGGACATTATTTTGAACTCTGAGAAAACAGAATGGAAGATGAGATACAAGCAGAATTAGAGTATTTGAAACCACTGAAAATTTTAATGTTAACACAGCCCTTCAGAACTACTTCATTTTTATTTTTGTTGGGAGTGAAGTTTGAACTCAGCACTTCGAACTTGCAAAGCAGGCACTCTACCATTTGAACCATGCCTCCATTTTGCTCTGGTTATTTTGGAAATGGGGTATCAAACTATCTGCCCAGATGGGCCTCAAACCAAAATTCTCCTGATCTCAGCCTCCCAAGTAGCTAGGATTATAGGCATGAGCCACTGATGCCCAGCTACTTTTTGTTTTTCATTTGACATGAGTATAACAAAATATTTTCCTCCTTTTTTTTCTTAGCCAACCTCCATGAGAGCTATCCGTGCTAGATATGACCCTTATCTACAGACAAGACACCGAATAGAACAGGTAAATTTTGAAAAAGCGTTTTTCTTTAAATTAGATTTTTACACTTAATAAGACGGTGCTTGACTTGGATTCAGTGTGAAGTCAGAATTAAAACATTTTTCCTCTTTGTTTATTATTTGTGTGAGGGAGGAGACTATTTTGCATTGCCTAGCATGGTCAAAAATCTTCACTCTTTAGAAGTATTTTTTCTGTATTATTTCTTTAAGGGTTTTATATTCTCTAAATTCCTTTCAGTTCTTGGATAGTCACGAAAGTGTGTGAAAGTTCTTACACGATAAATGAGTGGGTAGAATTTTACCTCTTAGAAGACAGAATCAAGAGTATTGCAACTGGTTTGCCCCATAAGGATGGGGAATTGACTACAAAGTAGTTCTAGGAACTTTTGGGAGTTGTAGGATTGTTCTTTATCATGATTATAATGGTGGTGGTTATATATCTTTAAATATGTATTATAACTTACATATGTGCACTGAAAGTTAGTGGGTCTTATTGCGTAATTGTAGCTGATTAAAAAATGAGTATTATCTGAGCTGCTTAGAAAAAAGGGTGCTATGTGACTTCACACTGATCAAGAAATTTGAACATTAATATTTTGTTTACAAGTTCATTTTAAACATGACCAATTTTTAAAATATAAGCACCATTTGTAGTTGTTACAGTAACACATGGTCAGGCAAATACCAAATGTAAAATAGGAAGTAGTATGCCCTAGTTAATAAGTTTATTAGTGAGTACCATATAGTTCTGATTTTCACTTCACTGTCAACCAAGTATGTGTGGGACAGGATTGTCATCAGCAGGAGGGGACCCTACCTGGGGAATCTACAGGGTTTGGAGGTGCTTGTTCAAACTGACCTCGATATCTTTTTTTTTCCTTTTTTTTTTTTTGGTGGTACAGGGGTTTGAACTAAGGGTCTTGCACTTACTAGTCTGTACTTCTTGAACCATAGCCCCAGCCCTCTTTTTTTTTAAGTCATGATATTTAACTCATTTAAAGTAGAGAATTATATTTCAACAGAGTGTGAAATATTAATGTTTGCCATAAAAGAGCCTGGATTTTAGGTATTTGGAAACTAACACAGTACTCAGAATCATAGTAAGTTCCAAGACATGGGGTAAATCTTCACTCTGGAGGTTCTGATGAAGTTGGTTCAGAGTTCTGGCAAGATAGTTTAAAAAGGCTACCAAGGTGATTCCGATGTGTAACCTTTATAAACAGCTATAGATATAGAAGTAGAGTATTCTTTTAGTGTTTCTACCATTTTCAGAAACAAGTATTTTTGAAAGGTACCTTTTTTAAAATTTGTTTGTTTTGTCTTATGATTTTATTAGCATATTGTATTTGTACAGGGGAATACATTGTGGTATTTACATACAGGCTTAAAATACATCTTAGTTGGATGAAAGGCACCTTTTTATCTATAGTTAGTGTAGACATTCTTTACATAGGACATAAATTCTAGTTCATGATTTGGTACTTGACCCTAGTTTCTCAAGCCTACGGCACAACAGTTAATTTAACTTCTTGTTTTTAAAAGTCAGAATCTTGGCTTATTGTGGTTGACAAAATGAAAGATTTGTGCCATTCTATCTCCTAGTGAAGGAGACATAATATTTCATTTCTCCTCAATGAGATATTTGCTTTAAACTTTTTTTCCCAGTTAGTAGGCTTAAAAGGCCAACTGTGCCCAGTCTTCAATTTTAAACTGCTTTCTTGACTTTCAATCCACTCTAGTGTTCTTTTTCCTTCTGTTACATGAAGTCCTGGTTATATTGCAGAAAAATGCATGTATAATTGTTCCATAGTCATAAATACATCTTTTTTCCCCTAAGGCTTACCACAGTAACATCTCATATATGATCAGTAAATATTATATTGCATATGTATTACATTATCTTTACTGCTTCCTAGTTTATATTTTTTGTTTTACAATTTCCACTTAACTTTGTAGCATTGAAGTCAAGCTTCTTGGTTTTTGGTTTTTTGTTTGTTTTTCGGCAGTACTGGGGTTGAACTCAGTCCTTATGCTTGCTAGGCTGGCGTACTACCACTTGAGGGACCCCCCAGCCCATTTGTTTGTTTTTGATTTTCACTCTCCTTCCTTACTTGAGCAGTAATTTTTCTATCAGACTTGAGTCTATTTCTTAATCTACAGAATTAGCTAAATATGTTTCATTGTTTCTCATTTTTAAAGCTCACTAGTGAAAGGCTGCTAAATAAAATTTGAAATTTACAGTCTCCCCTTAGACTTGTTGCTTGTACCTTTCTAATGCTGATGGGTTTATGTTTCTTTCAGTTAAAACAGCTTGGTCACAGCGTGGATAAAGTGGAGTTTATTGTGATGGGTGGAACATTTATGGCCCTTCCTGAAGAATACAGAGACTATTTTATTCGCAGTTTACACGATGCCTTATCAGGACATACTTCCAACAATGTTTACGAGGCAGTCAAGTAAGAAATCCTTATTTTATCACACGCTCCAAAGTGGTTGTCTTCATTCTCTGAGCAGCAGCCTTTGAAAATTCCTTTGTGTTCAACATATACATGTCTTAAAATAGCTTTTGTTTCCAGAAGTTTTAGGAATACCCAGATAGCTTCTAGTGTCCTGTTTTTTTCTTATTTCCATATGTTTCTTGAGGGTCCACCAGGTACCATGCACTGTTGTAGGCAGTGGGAACAACATGGCGAACAAGACAGAAACTGCCCTTGTCCTCATACAACAAGGGCTTTCATCCTGCTAGTTCATCATGCTGTGATGCAGATGACCTGGAGAACAAAGAGGAGTCAGTGAGGCCTCTGGCAGAGAGAATAGAAGCCAGCACCAAACAGAGAAGAGGTCACTGTGGTTAGATCCCAGTGAACAGGGAGAGAATGGTGGTAGTGCTGGGGAAGGGCCAGATTTTACATACTTTTAAGGAGTTGAAGTTTTGTCCAAAATGCAGTAGCAGCTAAATGAATGGCTTTTAGCAGGGAGTGACCTGTTCTGGTTAACAGATTAAGATCATTCTGGCTACTATCTGGCTAATGAGCAAGAGTGAAAGGGAGAATCTGAAGGACCATCTGATTGTGTCCACCCCTGCTCAGACAATGGTGATGTCAGTGGTGATAGAGAAGAGATGGGTTGGGAGAAGGAAGGAATGAAGCAAGGCACCCAAGTTGGGACTAGAGGAAATGCTTGGAGAGTAGTGCCATGTACTAAGGTGGAAAGGCAGAGGGAAAAGGAAACCAGGGGATTTGTTTTGAGTACGTTAAATTTGAAATGCCTGTGATACAGTGAAGGGGAGATGTCAGGTACGCTACAGATACAGAAGTCTGAGCTGGCATCACACAATTGAGGATTATCAGCTCATAAGTGACATTTAAAGCCCAATAAATGGATGAGATCATCTAGTGGGAGAGTTTCATATCTCCAAGATATACTAAGTGAAAAGGCAGTGTTTAGAGCAATTCCTACAGTGTAGTCCCATCATTTATGTAATCACTCATCTATCAGTCTATCTCGAGAGAGGAAATAGTAAAACAATGATTATCCCAGGCCTGAGTTAGAGCTGAGTAGGAAGAGAGGTAGGAGTATGCAATGTGCTAGGCATTATACCAGGTGTTTATGGTGGTGCACACCTATACTCCCAGCTACTCAGGAGGCACAGCTCAGGAGAACAGCAGTTTAAAACCAGCCCAGACAAATAGTTAATGAGGCCCCATCTTGACAAGTAAGCTGGGCATGTGGTACATACCTGCAATCTCAGCTACACAGGAGGCATAGTAGGAGGATCATGGTCCAAGGCTGGCCCTGGGCAAAACTACAAGACACTCTCTGAAAAATGACTAAAGAAAAAAACGGCTGGAGGTGTTATCCAAGTGGTAGAGCACCTGCCTAGCAAACAACAAAGCCCTGAGTTAAACCCTAGTGCTGCCATTTAAAAAAAAAAAGAAAAGAACAGACTTTTTCATAAATTTAAATAAATGTCCAAGGAAGCTCAAGGGGTCTGTGTAAGGGGTCTGTGTAAAGGGTCCAGCTGCAGGGAGAGTGTATGTGAAACAACTATCTTTGTTTGATTGGCTCTCTAGGGAATGTGACAGGCGAATTCTGTCCCCAAATCCAGACTCTGAACAGCGTGATCTGTTCCCACGGGGACTTTTAGTAGCAGGATGAGATGGTGTCTATTTTTACTGCTCATTCAACCTTGATCATTCATGAACATGAGTCATGCTTAGTAAAACGCTGTAGTCTTCAAACTTTAGAGTAGTGATGTAACCCAAGTCATTCTTCTAATGCTGAAAAATCAAACTGTCACTTAGATAAAATGAGATTGGAGGAACCAAACTTAATTAGGCAGCAGAACCCCAGAGGTTACTGACTGAAATTCATTCAGCCCTGACAATGCCCTCACAGGGTGGTCTGTCAGGCCACCTAGTCAGTCTTCGAGAGTGTGTGTTCTTGGGATGCTCCTTTCTTGGCACAGGCTTCTTGTGCTGAAGACTTTGCACACCTAGTGGATTGAGCTATAGATGTTGTAAACATGTGCCTTCTCCTTACAAGTTTGCAGCCTGCAGTTTGGGACTCTGGAGTCTTTATAATGAATTAGCTAGATTGACATTTTCATCATTTGAAACTTTAACAATTTGCTTTATTCTTGGTGTAAGAGTTTTATTTGTACAGAAATGCTCTAGTGCCTAGTGGTGCTTAAATGTAAGTCGTCTGTTTTTAGGGTGAAAATGGGACTTTGTGTTTCAACTGCATAGCTTCAGATCACGATGTGTGTCCCAAAAGCACTTGGAAAGAGAAAGCCTCTTTTTGTAATGAACTAGGCAAAGCCAGGGTTAATTTGTTTCTATTCTTGAATTTACCTCAAGAGGGCAACAAACACTTTGCGTTCAGATAAAAATTTATGTATGATTTGAGTCTTCATTCCAACAGATCTCATGAATGGCTCTTAGGAAGTAATAAAAGTACAATTAGAGAGCCACGTGTCTGTGGCTGTGGTTCTGCAGCCCATACTCTGCGTACCTTGCTCTGTTTTCCTGTCTCTGTACTTTTATGAGACAATGTAAAAAAGGCAATGTGGACTTTTGTTTGCTTTGTTGAAGTAAATTTTTCTTACAAACTTCCTATAATAGAGTTGGTATTTGTTTTTAGGGAAACTGTGTTTTATTTGAAGAAGTAGTAGTCTAATTTGAACTAGAGAGAGAAAATTATTTTCAAATCATTGTGAGATAAAGAACAACCCGGAAAAACTGTGTTTTTGACATAATGTGTTCCTTCAAAAACTTTGGCTTGACCTTGCTGTTCTCTCCTATCTTGCACAGAGGGCATTCATTTGTGACAAGCAGTTGGTTCACCCAGGGTTATTTTACTACTAATTCTATTAGTCATTTCGGCTTGCTAATACATGGGTGTAGCACTGACTTTCATTAGCTTAGTAGGGTGTTTTCAAAGATTAATTTTAACCTAGGTTAAAAATTATGTAATGACAGTTGTGTCAACAGTGCTTAAGAGTCTTTGTTCAAGTTAGGGTTAAGCTTTACCCTTAGGTCTGATGTCCCTGCTGTGTTATCCAGTATCTCACCTGATTAAAGGTATGCTTCTCACTTAAAAGATCAGGATTATGATAAAGAAAGGCCAATAAAGTGAGCCTGGTTACTACTTGTGGCAACTTCAGTAGGAAGCAGTATAGTAATACCCTTGCAGGTAGAAAACTGAAAAGTGAGTGAGCAGAGACCAGTTCAAGGACAAAGCAGGTATGGCCTCTGTGAAGGCTCTTTGACCCAAGCCCAGTGCTAATCACGCATTACCATCAGCAAGACTGAGCCTCTTCAGGAACTTCTAGAGGCAACAATTACCATTGACTATCCTTCCCGAAAAATCTTACCTCTAGAGACTCAAGGACCATCAGTGGGATCTGAGTCACCCATTCACCAGAATGCAAATGTTGCCAAATAACTCAGAATAGCCTTTTAAAGGAGTTTTATTCCTTTTTAATCAGTTCTGCCCAGAAGCAGTTTTATATTCAATCTTTAATGCTCCTCGGCTGTTTTTACAAGATGCAATTTAAAAGGTAGTTACCCATCAAGAAGTATGTGAGTCACACTTTCTTCCTGTGGAATTTTTAATTTGTTTCCGTTCCTTCCTCTTTTTCCTTCCATCAGTGGCTTTAAATCCTTCAACCGTGTCCTTACATGTCTTGGAAAAGCTGGAGTGCTAGGTAGTTCTGGGGACCGGGCTCCGAAGACAATTTCGTAGTCTTGCTGAGCTATGAAGCAAGCTAGGAAGGCTTGAAAATGACTGAGTACCTCCTCCCCTGCCCCCCCTGGGCCTCAGAATCTCTTGCTTCAATACTCCCTACCCCTCAGTTTAAATATTAATCACTTCACTTCCTCCTTGGCTACCCTGGTTTTCATGCATGGTGGTCAGAGTCCTTGACATGGGATGGCCAGCCTAGGATATAGTCTTAGTCATCTTGAAAAAGATACTAGTAATTTTTCTTTTAGCATTTTGTTTGAAACAAAAATTGAAAGAATTTCTCTGTAAGCACCCACATACCTATCACTTAGATTCTGTAATACCCACTTTTCATGTATCTGTCCTTTCCACTGTTCATTCATGAGTTTTGTTCTATGAATTTTAAAGTAAGTTGCATACTTTAGTACAGTACTCCCCAGATACTTCATCAAGCATATTAACGCTGGCTCCCTGTTTGATGTTTTTCTCTTGAAGTAAATTTACAGACAAGGAAGTGTACAGATCTTAAGTACTCCATTGATTAGCTTTGACAGACATATACCTGTGTAACAAACCCTATTAAGAAACGGGACGTTACCATCATCCCAGAAAGTTGCTTTATACCTCTTCCCTGGAAATCCTCATTGCACTTTCCCAGAGACAGCCATTCTGATTTTTTTCTCCACCATAGATGAGTTTTGCCTAGTCTAGAACCTTGTATAAGCAGACCCATCTAGCATCTAGTTTTTTGTGTAAGACTTTCACTTAGCAGTTTTGAGATGCATTTCCAGTAGTTACCAGCCTTTTGATGCTAAGTAGTGTTACACTGTATGCATAGACCATAGTTTTTCCATTCTTTTCATGGACACCAGGGCTATTTCCACTTTGCAGCTAGTATGAATACAACTTCAAGGAACATTTTTGTACAAGTCTCTTTGTGAACATATGGATTTATTTCTTTTGGGGGGTAATTAGAAATAGAATTGATAACTGCCAGCCATTTTTCCAAAGTGGTTATACCATTTGTACTCTCATTACTAATGGGTGAGCATTTGGTTGTTCTGCGTCTTCACCAACATGTAGTGTCATCAGTCTTTTTCATTTTAGCCATTCTGTGGGTGTGATGATGTCTTTTTTTTTTCTTTTATTCATATGTGCATACAATGTTTGGGTCATTTCTCCCCCATGATGGTGTCTTATTGTAGTTTTAATTTGCATTTTGCTGAAGACT